GACCCGGCATGTGGTCTTGAACCACGCTGAGGCCCCTGTTTTTAATTGGCCCGTTTACCCTGCTCAGACACTCGCGAAGACTAGTAGAAGGCCAGAGGTGGCAGAGACACCATCGTCCACTAGACAGACAGCTCGACCGAGTCGTTTTGTGTGTGTGGCGCATGCCCAATGTGGTTATTGATCGATAGTATGAGTGAACTAGTTAACGTGGTGGTAACTGAGCTGTCAGTATGAGTTCAGCTGGTCCTCCAGGGCTGAACTGGGTGGGGGGAAGGCAGCGTGCCACAAACTACAGCAACCACACTAACAGACAGGAATCAATATGTTTCACTGCCAAACAACACACTTAGAGAAGTGCTCCATTCGCGGTCCAAACGATCGGCTGAATCTGGAAGTTTGTATAATAATGTGATTAACAAATGCCTTCAGAGCAAGTTAGTTCCCTGAGCCGATCGAAAAGTATAGTTCTACTTTACCTTAAAGCAGAAACACAAAGTGTCATTATAACGGATTTTGTTTGAAGCCACCTGTAATTTCGTTTGCCAGAGGCACGTGTCATTATTCGTAAACCCGATGTTGACGAATCGTCCTTCAATTAAGGCCGCTAAAGCAGACGTCACATCCACTGATTGAATTTTAAGGTATAAGGTTAATTTTATCCCAATCAACACGACACTCTTCTCTATTAAGCAAGCAACGAAGATAATGATCGATCAAGAATTGGTTAGTACTAGGAGAGATTGTGCTTCACTGACCTTAAATGGAGGAATTATGTAGCTCACACCAATTTTTTCAACACTGCAAACTATGATTCCGAATGAGTGGTTTCGCGCCTGCATGTCAGTGCTCCACTTTGTCTCACAAAATCAATATATTTGAGCAAAGCTGGGGTGCAGTTTTGTTTGTACAGTTGAAGTGGCGCACGCAAGATTACTGTGCCCTTTTGAAAACCACTGTACAATAAAATGTGTGTGGAATGATTTTGTGAGTTTTCAACGATTCAATCGTTGCTCTGTTGACTTTGATTAATAGACCAAATGAATTGAACCAGTGATGACATTTCAAGTGTCAGCAAATGAGCCATTGATGGTAAACTTGCCTACAGCAGCGTAACAGGTAGGTGACAGATTCCTCAGGTGAAGGATTAGGTAGTTGGTCGATTTATTTTTTTTTAAGTCATCTTAGGCAAAATGGAAATTTCCCAGAAGTCTCCTGTACATCAATTTTTAATTTTTCCTAGACCAAATCGGTTCAACTTGATAACAGGATGTTTCCTTTGTACCTACAAAATTCGCTATTGAGTTAAAGTTATTCTATTCAAGGTACCACACCTCCCAATGAGGGCAAATTAAAATTTCACTCACTCAGATCAGGTAATCAACTTTATTCAAATTGTAAAAAAAGTACTAAATACGTCATTTTACAAAGTAGTCATTTTGTGGCTGTGCACATTTTACCACTCTGTCAATAAACCTTCGCTTCCCTTACTACGTTTCAGGGTGACCTGTAAATAATCGATTATGCATTTGTCCTGGGTGGCGATTGTGGATGTTTCCATTTAAGAAACTCTCTGACTTGAATCGTTGCATCCCAATTCATGCACCCACACGACTTTGCGAGCAAAGACAAGCTTCCAACCCCTTGTCAATAGCTACTAACACCAATGCAACTATTTATTTACTATTCTTAGGAATCCACAAGCCCAAAGAATCCATGTCACTTTAACACGTAACAGATCAAAAGAATCTTCATTGTTTTCAAGGCATTCATGTGAAATATTAAATTCCAAATAGCTACGTGAAAATATACCCAAAAATGATTACATGTGCTCCCAATCGTGTGACCTACACGACTTTACGACCCCCTGGTTAATTGTCTGTAAACAGCCCGTAACGACTCGATAAGAAAGGCGAGAACGATGATGGAAAAAATAACGATTTATTTACATTTGGACACCCAAGTCTTTTTTAGCACAGCGCGTGAGAGCATCTCAAACATCAACCCTAATCGATAATCGATGACGTTCGATCAACTCGTGAATAAGCTCAACTCACGCTCGTTTGGTAAACCTTCACTACAGCCATGTAAACGTACACCTAAAATGTTTATCTATACCCCATCATGTAACCTACAAAAACCTGATTTTGGCTATAAGGTGTCAGACCTTGTGCATCGATTGAGCGTGTTAAGTTGATATCGCGTTTTAACTACTTTAAAGTCCATAATTTAGACTAAACCACAGTAATAATTTTTAATACCCATATTCAAATGGCTTGCAACTGTTAACTATCTGTGCTTGTTGGCTGTAAACCTCTTTATCTTACTGATAAAACCAATTTGAACGAAATGTGTTGCTGTGGCTAGGCGAAGCCAATTTCGACTTAAGACGCCGATTTAAGACTTATGGTAAGGAAAGTTGGGCGTATTTTTCTCAATTATTTCATTCACGCATATTTTAAGAGTTAGTAAGACATTTTAATCCCTCCAAAGAAAGCTTCTGTTGAATCTCATCTTAGCATTCTCAATCTCCTTCGCATGAAATTGACTGAGATTTTGTCAATTTATAATGCAAAATCATTTGCATACCAATGCTTGCATTGCGTGACTTACCACTACCGCCATTCTTTACGCATAGCCATATCTAGGGGTTTCATCGGCCAGAAGAGTACTTTCCACGAGTCATCCTCATCTTCTCGAATTTTCACATCGTTGAAAGTGTGTGGGTACCACTTGGGATGATGGCGTAAATCATTTCATCTGCCGACTGCTTTTTGCATTTTCATCACTTTTTTAACTTCCTTTATAACAGACGATGTCGAAACGTCACGCTCGCTTCTCCCAATAAAGCTTATTGGAAAGTGTTGTCCACAACCAGAACATGTCAATGTAGTTCATTGTTTTGTTTTAATGGAATGATACTTGACGCGCAGTTTTTCTTAAGTGATCGATAACTTGCTCGATCTGCATGTTTTTCTTGTTTAATTTCTATGATCTTCGATCCGTGGACGCATTGTCTTCTTTTGCATACTTGCTCTACTCATGCCCGATTGAAGACGCCGTCACCTAACTACGCACTTCGTTTAGAAGTGCATGTTTTAATAGTCACTAAGTGTTTTCTCAATAAGCATAACGAACTTGCCATTAGAACAATACCAATAATAAAGTCCTTGTCCCCTAGGCTGCATTTTTTCTGCTCTGCCTTTTCACAATCTAACCATTCTCTTAAACCAATATGTTTGATTAGAAAATTACTATGGTCCCAGTTGTAAGGAATAATTTTGGACAACAGAGAAAGAAGTATGGGGGTTCCCACAGTGTTGCTCTAAGCAAACATGGTCTCTGTCACGGCCGTGTTCTTTACATCTGATCGAAAAAGTTTGGTTCAACCGATGCAGATGGCATCCCAGGAATGTTCACACGTATCACTGATCCATGGAAGGCCATTGGAGACAGGAAGTGTTGGCTTTCGGAACTTGTATTTCTTCAAGATTTGGGCAAACCTACAAAGTATAAGAATTTAGTGAACCGTGGTACCTAGAAACCCGACCTGTTTCGTGAGTTAATCCTGGGAGCGGTAAAGTGCCATGATTTATGCCTCCTCCGTTTTGAAGAAAGAATGATTGTGTTTCCTATAACCAGATTACAATACTTATCAGTTGTGATCCGGTCTTAAATTACCTATTCCATCTACTGAGGAATGACGAACAGCCAAACCCAGGCAATTCTTTTGAAGATCTCTGGCGCTAGTTAGGGTGCAACTTTAGGGATTGATAGTAAAGTTAATGGAATCAGCTTGCTACTGATAAAATTTGTCTGTATTGCACACCTAAGTACGTGTACGTTGACCCTCAGTATTCAAACGTTTATAATCAGACAAGTGATTCATCGGTCGTCTAGCGTAATTATTGCTGCCTTCTGCACTTCGATACACATTATCCTAAAAACCATCAGGTAAAAGATGGCATCGATGATTGCTGTCGTGCAATTCTTTGCCTTTTGTGGTGGTCAGGAGGATGTCTGATTATGCGCGCACAATCAGCCATGTTGACCACAGAAATATAGACACAGTAGTGAATCGTGTTGATTCACGTAAAACACCCCGGTCGTCGCAGCCTCACACACGCACGTCCCCTCTGTTCACGACCTGCCCGTCGGTCACGGGAGGCCGCTGGTTCATTAACCACTCTGCTTGTCCCACCACCACCCGTATAAGTCATGTGTCCTCACAGACACCTGTATTGATCTTTGTATGTGTCCACTGAACCGTAATTGCACACGACACAACTGGGCTGAGCTGTCTAGTAAACGGTTGTGCCTTCTCCACTCTGGTCTTCTTTATTTTCGCGGGAACACGGGGTAACGTATTCGGCGTAGATTGTCGCAGTGGCCCCGGCGTGGGTCAAGACATGCCGGGGACCTTAACAACACAATCCACGTTGTGTCAAACTGAGTGGCTTCCACAGGCACTTGTTGAAGTTCCCGGTATGTTGACTTAGGCCGCGCCTGTACCGTTGCGTTAAATCTGGCCCTAAAACGTTACCCTGATATCCGCGAGGATAAAGGAGACCGGAGAGAATGAGGCACACCGCTTATTAGAGTTTGCCGAGGTTGTGTTGACGTTTGCGCGGATTAAAGGTAGTGCATGACTCAAGTGTATTTTTGAACGATGCAGCTGAATGGCTAGTGAAAATGCAAAAGTCTGTATGGTCACGTGGATAAAACGGGTAGTGGTGGTAAATTCAGAGGGATTAATGAGTAGGAGGCCTCGTGTGGCTGACAGGTACACCGAGAAAGGGGGGAAACGTGTGTGTGAAGCTGCAACGGCCGGGTTATCGGGTGTGAATCAACACTATGCGCTCATCAAGTAGGTTTTTGATGCGAACACTCCTGTCTGTTGAACACAACCTCTGTTCTGACGGCACAAATACCGGAGAAGCTGTATTAAACAAAAAGAAAGACCTGCAAAACTACCTGACAGACCTACTTTATTACCTTAACCGATGCTTTTAAGTTATTGTTTTAGAGTGATTGCAAATGGCGTTTACGGTTTTGCTCTGCCGTCGCCACCGCCCCTAAAGCACCCTCCTCCCGTGACTTTACTTAACTCCAGCTTCAATCGCACCGCAATCTTTGACCCAGACTGCGCCGTAAAACGAAATGATGTCTCCGTGAGGTTCGGTGGTCCTGCCGTTGAGTCGAGTGAGGTTGAAAGAAACTTCCAGATAGCTATAAAGTAGTGCAGCAGTCTTTCTCACGGGACGCAGTTCCATTTCATAACCATGCTTCGATCAAATGCCAGGAAAAAGGAGTTACAAGCTACGTGTTTGTGTGTGTGACAAACCTTATCACACCACTTTGTTTATCGTGCAGCAGATTGCACCAAAAACTACTGGTCTTAACAGTATCAAAATAGCAAGTGCAATATTGGCTCGACAATCTTGACGCGCCTTACGAGAAAATTATCCGGGAACCTGTGATTTACCAATTTTATGTATGCACAAGACAGTCTAACCACAACTAGATATTTTGAGAACTTATTAGCTGAGCAAATTCAGTTGTAATCACATAAATTGAAAAAAAAGAAGAAGTAGAGCACCAAACTGCTCCCTCCGGATAAAAACAAATATGGCTTGAAGGGCTTAATTATTGTGGAACAGGCTTCCTTTACATAAAATTAAAATTATGCACTGAATTGTTAAGCCATTTGGATGCGATTAGAGTTCGTCCAGGTAAGGTGATTTCCGCATGTTCCACTGACACCTTCATCATTTGTTTAATGTTGTAATGCAAAATTGAGATCAGGTTACGTCTGCACATACTTACGCAAACTGTTTAATCTAGGACTTTGAGTGACATCATGATGGTGGAATAAACAAATTAAGTAAAATAGTGTATTATTAAAATAAGAATTCGCCTTTCAGATGACGTCTGAACAACGAACTTCATCTTGGAAGCATTTTCCATCGTTTTCTATGACATTGCGCCATCTCTCGGGTGACGCGCCAACGCCGTCAGGAAGGAAACTTACAGAGAGTGTGACTTGCCTGTTTCCCAGTCCAGTAAATGGCCTTTCCTGATCAATTTCTTCGCTCAGTTCATTCACTTGTCGGCTGTAGCATTCTGCAGTCACCGTCTGACCAATTTCCTGAAGTTCGTAATAAAGTACACCCTTTGTGTCCCACCAGATGCACAGGAGAACCTTCTTCAAGTAGATGTCCTGTTTTGGCTCCGATGTGGTGGGCTGCCTGGGATCTACCCACGAATTTTTACGTTTGAGATTCTCGTAACAAAAAAATGTACTTTTTATCACCCGTCACAACCTTCCACAAGAAGTCCTTTTTTGTTGCCGGTGAGTAAGCAGTGAAAGGCATGTGTTCGTACGTTGACCGTCGAGGTTGTGTTCGGCCAGCATATGTGGAAAGACCCAACTTCCAATTTTTGTGGATTTTTTCCTCTTAGTTGTGCAACTAAGCTGCGAGCTCTTGGTGCGTTTACGGTGAGTCTTCATCCAATTGAGCTTGTAATTCCACATCTTCAAAATTTCGAGGCAGTGCAGGGTGATGTCAGTCAATAAGACCGAAATCACCAACGATTGCACGTTTCATAAGACACCGTCGGCACCAGTAACACTCAAAATTGATTTCCGCGCTTTAGAAGCATTTTTACCCAGTTGGAAATCGCATAAAATGCAGTGGTGAATGTGCTAATTATCATCGTCATCGTAAACTCCTGTCCTGAGGGGTCGTAGCCGATTAGCAGCGAGTGCGCCTGAATGAACCCTGGTTACCGACCTGACGGTGTCAATAACTCATCCCCTTTTCATTGGTTACTGTTATCAGACGCCTGTCATCCGCTCACCCATCCACCACACTAAGACACACATTTGGCTGGCTTAACGCTAATAAACAGTTGTGTCCACTCTCGCCTCTCTTCAGGGATTATTACGAGACGTTAACTCAAGGGTTGTAAGGTAGTGCTGAGAGAAGCCACCACAGGGTTAACTCACCTAGACTTGTCGTTCGGTGTTCTGAAACCTTGCGTCCGGTCATTTCGAGACCACAAAAGACCAGGGAAATATTTCTATTTTAAATATAATTTTAAGCTCGAAGAATAAATCTGTGCAAATTAAAACATACACCTGATATTTTAAAATGCAGTTCTATTAGTGTCCCCAGGACGTCCCAAAGCACTTTGTTAAATCTGTCAAATACATATTGGAGAGTTTTTAAGGATGAACGCTGGACGCCTCTACGTGAATTTCGTCCAAAGCTATTTGTGCATCAAGACTACACAAATTCTTTTTGAAGTTGTAATTCTAGGAACTCATTACACTTTGTCTTATGGGATTAGTGAGGTGGAAGCTGCTTTGGCCTGGCCGACAAAATGCTTAATGCATTAGGTTCGAATTCAAGGTTTCAGGCCTCCAAATCACGCAAGCTGCCGTCCAACCTTGAAAGAAGCCGGAAAAAAAACAGGCTACTGGAGGAACGGGAGGATGGTTTTGAATTAAAACGCCCCGAGTCACATCGTGGGACGATTGCGGACACTGTGACAAAATCGCTACATACAAAATGATAAAAGGTATGAATCAAATCGCATTTTAAATCCACCTTTAAGAAATATCAAGATGCCTCCATGCATTTGCACAATATTGAAATGGCGTACTTAAAGGCACGGCTACGAGTAATTTTTGGAAATTTCACACCATGCTTTTGGTGTTATTCAATTCCGGATGAATCAAGCAAAACAACCAAACTTGAGATATTCTAATGGATGTCAATGTTAATTTTCAGTTTTAAGGTGTGCTTTTCTCAAACCACACTGGTCTGTATGAAACATAGAGTGAAATCTCTATGCATGGCGTACCTGCAGTACTTGGGGTCGATATTTGCAAACCGACCAGGACAACCAAATTTCAATTTCGGTAATATTTAAAATCATTTACACACCTGAAAATTGTTATTAGTCTGGTACAGAGACAAAGCGCTGAATTGTCACCACCGTTAAAGGAGCAGCCTATCATCCAAATAATCATTCTGTTTTTATAAATCCACCTCAAGTGCACGCCAGTCAGCAAGTTCCAACTTACACATCCACATCTAGTGGATGATCAGGCAGACAAGCTACAACGCTTCTTTCCACTCCCAACCTTGGGTAGCTAACGCTACAAACAGCACCAAGCTTATTTTTCTGCTCCTTTGCTAATCCAGTACTAACTTTTCGTGGTAATAAATCCATTAAAGGAACGACTCTACAAATTCAATTTATTGACCTGAATTAAGTAATTTAGTTGTAAAAAAACGAAAACACCCAATTACATTCCAGAAAGAAGTCAACTACCGAAAATGTTTATCATGAGCATTACACATGGACACGCAATGTAAAGAACGCGTGCATTATGAAGAGGCTGCGAATGGCAAACTGGCGTTTAACGTGGAGGCAGGACGAAAATCACCAAAATGCTACCACATAAGATAGTGTAGTGGGTCTCGGCTGCCAACTCAATATTACTGGAGTTAGAATACCACGTAAAGAACAAGGCCAAACCGCGTTCCGACTCTCTCGTGTTTTGGTAACCCAACTTGAAATTATCTCTAGGTCAACTCTATCCAGACTTTCAGTAAATTACACAAGTAGTCTCTACATTCATTCACCAACTGTTAAAATTGAGAGTCATTGATGCAATGCAAAAACAGAAGTTATAACTGCTTCCTGGTATTTCCACTGGCTCAGACATCAAGATAGCCTGTTTTTATTGACTAGACGCTATAGTAATACTTGTAGCAGAGTCACCTGCAGAAGCGGGCCCGGATAGTGTGAAGAATCACCGGGTGAGGGACGTAACCACGTTAGGGTCACCACTTCAGCAATCCCGGAGTGGATCTTAAACATACACGCAGACAATCTACTGTAGGGGCCTATAGATAACAGCCGGTCACAACCCGAGAAGGGGGAAGACAAGGAGTCGAAAGAGAACACGACCGCATACTCGCGTCACGCCAGTCGAGTCAAGCCACAAAATCGAGTAACTGACTTCTGTGTGCGTATCGATACGCGTGCGTTACAGGCGACTGCTAACAAAAATCAGTAACAAAGAGGGTGAGTCATTGATGCAGTCGGGCAAGCATACACGCAGCACTCACGCGAGGTGGCTGTCTGTCCACTGCAGTGCATTCACGAAAAAAAATCTATTGATTTCCGTTCGCCCACGAATGCCAACCGTGCTGGTTTGCTGGTCGCCACGCTACTTTTCCGGACTCACTTTTACAACCCGGATACCTGGGGAAGAGTGAGAAAAACCGAAATGACGGAGATGAAACGCTTTTGTAGATGCGCTGTTGTGCTCGTGAGCATAGAATGCTGTGGGTACCTATATGCCACGGACCCATTCGGCGGATACAAAAACTGTGTGCCCAGACATGCTCGCACACACACAAAACGGGGTCGCTGAGACATGTGGGACGGAGGAGACACGCGAATAACTGGTGTGTGGAAACGTGTCGACAGAAATAGTGGACACGACCCACCACGATTCACTACATATAAATGTAGAGGCCCGATTTGCAAAAAATATGCCTCTGATTAATTTTTACTTTACGGACCAGCTTCGAGACCAGTGGGTTGATTTGCGACCCGATAGGACACTAATTGCACGGACAAGAATACCAAAGGCAATGGAGGGTCAACCGTTTATCAGGCCTCCATACCAACTTCGTGATTGCCCATGCTTTGGTGGGTGTTAACATGAGGGAGCCGGTGTCGCCAGTGTGCTAACATGGTCGCCATAAGTCTGGATACACGACGGAGCAGTTCAGTAGGGCATCAGGACGCGCACACCCAGGTACGGGACAGTCTGTCTGGTCACGCGTGAACCGTTGAGACGGTCATAAATCAACGAGATTCGTCGGGCCATCTGCCCCGCGTCACTTTTTGTTCCAATCACGATGTTGCATCATACAGGCATCATTTTCAGTCACTTGGAATGTATTTGTTGGACTGAATAGAATGCTTGGAGATATTCTGAGGATACGTTCTGAGTCTAAGGAGACGTCAAATTTCAAATCCACACGCCTGCGTTTCGTTTCAGACTAGTTCCTGTAGTGCAGATCACGCGATGCTCGGTGTTAATCACTTAAAATTTCGGCCTTAAAGTACGTATTTGACATCAAAATGTTAGCTGATGGGTTTGCACACAGTAACCGACTATTGGTCTGCTTTGCTATTAGTCAAATTAGTAAACAAAGTCTCCAGTTCAGCAGTTTTCAACTCCCTGAAGTCCACTTGAAAGCCGGTTATGTTAAACGCGCTCCTTGTCCAAATCGCTGCAAAATCGAAACTTAAACCAGGCATCATGTCTTACGCGTTTGAATGGAAAAGTACCTGCTGCTGTCCTTTGGAGGAATTAGTGACGATTAAACACATGAACGGACGAGAGTGACATGGCCGAATTGCTGTAATGTTTAGGGCAGCGCTAGAAATCTCCGCGGAGCTCACGCGCTCCCCAAATTTTCACGCACGCAGTCATTGCTGGGAGAGGCAACCTTCTTTGAAATTGGACGTTTACAAGGAAATGTGAGGAGTACCACCAGGCCTTCTGGTCGCTGATCCGATTCATGTAGGGCTCAGTAATTGAGATGTTATGTGCACGCATACTGTACTGAACCAGAGTCGAATGTGTGCCCAACTAATGTGTGAGTAGCGGATGCCAACCAACCATGCGTCAGGGGTGTTACATAGACACCGCCCACTTAGCCATACATTACTAATGCTGACAGCACGTCCTTTTATCCTAAGTCAATAATTGGTTCCATTGAATTCCGAGAACACTAGCTTTCCGCTCCTATGATTGACTACCTTTGTATCCGGTTTATCCAGTTTTGAAACATTTTTGCTGTAACTCACACAGATGGAATCCAGGTAAATCAATCCATGAGTTGATTGCAAATGTGGACACTATCAGTGAAGAGCACGTTTTTACCTCGGCGAGAGTGCATAATGGGATCCTAAAGAACACTCTTGTTCTATTTAAAGAAAAGAAGCACAGGGTAGACAGTTGGATTGGGACGTCAAAAGATAGCTAGATCTGCTTTCGTCTGTACGGAGCCAACACATAAAACAAAAGTCCTGCCACCAGATCACAAGCCTTACCTCTATGCACCCATGGAACCAACGTGGCACGACCTTTTCAACACGCGCAATCGGTAGTCGAAAATTTGTTCGATATCGAAATCGGAGATGAACATCAAGCAGTCCATTAAAATCATTACAGGCTACGCTTGATAAAACACCAGGATGAAGCGAACGTTCAGCCAGCAAACGAGTGTAAACAGAAGCAAAAACGAAGCTAGCTTTCTCCATGACGGTGACATCGTAATGGAACTAATCCCTTTTTCGGGAATCCGAAGGGTGCTTGAATCCTCGATATTCCGTTCTGTAATCTCGCTACTTTGTACTTGTGCACATTCTATTCAAAGTGGAAGCGACTTAATACCTTTTGCCCAAATTTGTTTGGGTATTTTCTAAAGTAGCCAACTGAACCAGCTTCTACAACCCCCTTGTTACTTCATTTCGGACTACCAGTTCCCGACGCGGATGCTTTTTTGTTACTTCCTCACGATTTCCGATGATGGGACAACCATTTCCTACTTTTGTACAAAAAATTGAACAATACATTTTGCGGTTGCTACCAGGCTTATCGTACATTTGTTCCAAAATTAATAAATGGATTGTAGATCCACCATGAAGGAATTTGATTCGCGAACTTGGGAAAAGGAGAAAAAAGCGTGTTTTGCCAAAGCTGCACACATGCACGCTAATCGCTAATGCTCCGTTATTCAACCACGACATTCCCCAATTTCCCTAATGCGTCCCGTCAAATGTGACAGCTTGGGTGTCCGCTGCTCGGACTGAGGAAGTGGGCGAAAGACGTCGCGCGCGACGGAATGCAGCGAAAAACCTCTAATGCCGCAGCTTCAATTGCCAAACAACCCTAGCAAAGCCACAGACTGGTACGAGTGCCACAGTTTTAACACTCAGGCACTCTTTTCGAAACAGAATAAAAAAGATCGCTTGTAAAAACTGGCCGCTCAGAAACTTGCCACTTGTTTAAAAACTTGGGAACAAAGTCCCTTCTTTTCGGAATTTCGTGGAGAATAAAACGATGAATGTTTGCTTTCACGAACATAACCGCTTTTGAGGTTCTTGGTATTTCTGTAAACTACATTAAATGCAAATTTCTAACGTGATTACAAGAAATTAACTTCTTCATTACTTGTAGGAATAATTTTTTTTCATCTATACCACGTATCACTGTGTAGCAAGGCCTAGTGTAAGGTGAGGGGTCTTATACAGTGCATGAAAGCAACAGATTAAACGCCGCATAACAAAATTTAGGGTCAAAAAGGTCATACAGCACTGGCAGACAGTGGTCACAGTGACGACTAGACACCTTCCAAGGTTAGTCGCGAAAATCCTCCCTAACTGGACTTCAGAATCGGTGGCTGGGATTCATTTGCAACATACCTTTGGCCAAGGCGCCCGTGCTTGCAATGGCAGTAACAGCACGACTAACAGAAGCAAATCATATCAAATACACAATAAGAAACGTGCAAAACCAAAGTTGACTGTGTAAAGGTCACTAGAAAAGGCGCTTGACACACACCAAGAACACAAGAAGCCTCTAATTGTCCTTCTTTCTTCGGTCTGGCGGCACCACCACTTCTGAAAGCCAAGGCAGACTAACACCGACGATAATGGACACGATTATGAGGACCTCCATCAGTAGGAACAAGTTCTGCAGCCAAAAGTCGACGCCTTGTGCTTGCCAATACCTCCAGTTAAGGTCTTTGCAGACTAAGGTGAGGGTCCAGGCTACGCACGTGAGTCTATCCGCCCACGACACCAACGTTGAAAAGGTCGGGTTCTCCGAATTCCCTAAAGATTTCAGAAATAGATCGCTTTTCAAGTTTGGACGATTCACATAAAGACAAAGAACGCCAAACACATTTGAGTCAAGTGGTTTTAAAATTTGCTGACACATCACTGGTGACATACTGTGTCGTAGAGATTGTGCATGAGCAAATGATAGCGGAGTTGGTTCTGCTTCTGCAACTAAATCTAGCGGAACCGTTGTGTTTTAAGTCAAGCGAAAATGATTTCAATAAGGGGACACCCACCTAAATCGGTACTCAACTGTCACAACTGCTTTCGAGAGGGGTGTAGATTTACATCTACGGTCGACAGGAAAACGGTTTTGGCAGTCTGCGGGAGGTTGATGGAGCCTGGTGTACTAGGCACCGACAGGTGTTGCACTGACATGAAATTAGTTGTTTCCTCGTGAACTGTGACCTTCTCGGGGACCCCCCGCTGTCTTAACGGCCCTGCAGGCACGTGTTCACCCACCCACCCACTCCCTGCCCGCCTGTGGCCCACACACAATTTAGGTGAACCACGTGGCACATGCTTCTGTGGTCGTCGGTGGGGGTTTAAACTTCTAAACACTGGTGGAAGTCGCGGGGACTTTGCTTCCGAAACAATCTCAAGCCTAGCACCTCCATGACGAAGACAGGTTCTTCCAATAAGACAGCCAATCAACCACTAACAAGATAAGACCACATCGAAAACCACCAACATGGTAACCAGCACAAACCGCCGAAAAGGATTATCTGGAGACAACTAGACCCTGTACTGGTTTCCGCAACCAATTTCTCACCACCTCTGTTGCCGAGTGATAAGGACGCTAACGGGGAGCAAGGTAGCTCAGCAGCAACTGAAAGTTTTACTAATGGGGACGAGACATCGAAAATGTCCCAAAAGAAAAAGATACTTTGTCGACACGCGTTCGCTCATCTAATGCACCACAGATTCTACCTAACACATTGAACCCGAATAAGTTTGCAATTTTTTAAACTGCAAAACCCCCCACTTTACAAGGCTTTCCCGTAACGAAACTAAAAAGCAAGCCAAAGATCGAAAGTCCCCTAAATAAATGTAATCCGTGTCACTACGTTCTACTACGAAAGTCTAGCAAATGAGGTTTATCTTCGGAAGTTTGTGCGCAGAGATGGGTTTATGTCTTTCGTGCAAGGGGCGAACGACAGCGGTGGATGCGGAAAACGGCTTTCAGACTGAACTGAGACGCCACACACACAGACACACATACCTCCAACACTTACCCGAAGGGAGGATCACAAGCACCGGGAATGTGTAGGCCAAGAAGGCAAGGAGAAAGGACACACCAATGACCCAATGGATGAAGTTTGACACGAAGACTTGTGGAAAGGCAGACGAGAGTTCCTGGTGCTGCGCGGCCTTGTCGACGTGCGTGAGGGTCATGGGGAGGGAGAGGAGGCCGAGCAGGGCACACACACAGCCCGAGAGGATGTTGGCGAGCTTGTCGCGCCACTTGGCGACAGAGAAGCTACCTGCTGAGAGCATGCGGATGCTCGCGCCAGCCAAAGCAGCTAGTCGGAGAGCAGCTCGCAGCCGGAGCCATGGCACATAGTCCATTTTTGGTTCAAACATGAAAATATAGGCCAGGTGCAAGTAAAATACGGAAGCGACGAAAACTGAGGCGCTGGGAAGAAGACGAGCAGACATTCCGGTGGACGTCACGAGGTAGACACCTGCCTAAAAATACAATCTACTAAAATTATTTCAGTACATGCTTAAAGCACTAAAATGACCTGAAGGTAGCCACATTGTGTGATCATTGCTGACTGAATAACGGCATAAGAAGGTCAAAGTGCTTATAAGCTCTCAAACTCCCTACTTCACCAAGTGCAAAATTATCCATCAACGACGATGAAAATCCCAAAATAACTAATGACTGAAAGAGTACGGATTTGGAATGTACGTGAAGCGAAAATGATTAAAGCCCAAACTAAGCCAAGTAAGTTTCAGACCACGAATACGTCTTCACAATAATATCAACGAGTCATAAACAGCCTGCTAAACCTCCGAACTGTCTCAACTGGTGACCGATAACCTTGGAGGTCAATAGCTTGAAGAACAACGAACAAAAATTCCGTGAGACGCGCTAACGTCTGCCTTTTCTTCTATTGATCGGTACGTCGTTTCTGATCGAAAGAATCCTTTCTAATTCACTCAACTTCTTGCTTCATTCATCATTCTAATGTATCACACCAGTTGCTTTTGGGTCCACAGCTGACACCATTCAAAATCGCCAGGAAATAGACCGCGCATTCTTTTTAGGGACACATTATAATGGGTTAACATGTGGCCGCGTGGAGGTGTAAAAATAGTAGACTGCACAAGTCAAAGCTAACATTACTTAAATACCATCTACAGTGTAAAACTTCTTTGCTAGGAATTATATCAGTCAGGACTGTGCTAAAGCCGTTGAAACTGACATGGCAGTTCAGAAATTACAGTATAAAAAGTTCGCGTGTTTGTGGACTATTCCGAAATTAACAGGCCTGGGAAGAGCCCTGAACATTATTCAAATCACAATGATGAAATTTTTAAGCGACTAAATTTGGAAATTAGATACTGAATTTCACTATTTAATGTGGCACGACTCATCTTCAACACCTGTAATTAGTAAGAGAACTGCATGCGAAAGCTCCTGACAGCACTGGGACATTTTCCCGACACATTCAGGTGGGAACGAACCACTGGTTGAGTGGCAGTAAAGCAGACAAGGAACACGGTAATACTACGGCAGATGTTGGTGAGACAGAACAATGGTCAGGTGATCAGCACTTACTAACGCCTGATGATTTACCTTCACCAAGAAGTAACTTGTTACTTCTGTCAAAAGACGTGGCATTGAAGAAGAAAACTTACTAATTCTTGAGGCTTACCATATAATAGCGTATTTGCTATCATTGCACCGATATACACAGTAGAACTGCTGAGATTTAATACGAACATTCAACAGTGGGCCCAAAACTATCCTACAGCAACGTTAATTCAAAAGTTATGCAAAAAACAGACCACCAAAAGTATTCCACGAGGATGGAGGGTAAATGTTTCCAAGGGAACAGCATATGCGGGGGGTTACAAATTAAGTAGACGCACATGCAGGTAAATAATCCATGGGTGGATGGGTGGCTGCTTTTCACGGTTCGCTCGTTCACTCAGCAGGCAGAGAAGAAATATGGCCATGAACAGACCGCTCCGGGCGAGCAGAAAGTGCATCACACGGAGACACCGCAAACCCGTGCGCTCGCCCGGTGACAACTCGCTGAAGGGCACCACGGGGGGTTTCACCTTTGGGCTAGAAGGACTTGAGGGTGGGGCCTAAGAAGAATAATAAACTTGCTTTTAAGAATAGCATGTAAAGGAATAATCTCCACGCCGCTACTTCATTTTGAGCAATATAGCATTTTGCAGAAAACGACCGAGCGCCGTAAATTTAACAGCGATTGGCCGAAAACGGCACAAGCGTTCCGAAGCACTCATAAATGAGTGGATTTACTTACAATACATTCAAAGGACGATTAACAGTCTACAAAAATGATGGAACGAAGAGCCCTGGTTGTAAAGTTAAGTGTCATACTGTAAAGAACACTTCATTTAAGCGGTAATAAGGCTCGGGAGGCTTCTAAAAGTCGTTGAATCTAAACGTCACTTTGTTGATAAAACGTGCACCTGTCGCCTACGTGTAGCTGCATAAGAACTTGAATAAATCGCCACAATTTGATTAGTACAAAGGAAGTTCATTATGCCAGTACGCAACAAGTACAAACTGAAGCATGGGCTGCACAAACTACAAAGAAAAAAGGATAATAAGCCCAGGTAAGAGGAGTACCAAGTGTTGAGACCTCTCTGTGGTAATGAGTTCCAAAGGTAAATTTGCCAAAAACACCACACGAAAACAAGATTTAGAAGAAAATGGAAAGAAGGCAACTCAAGTGAGGATATCTTGCTCGTATGCTTCCCGTTCATTAGCATTCATTACGAATACCAAAATAATTATAGTAGCAAAAGTTGTTTGATAAATACGGCGGTTTTAACTAAAAACATAAACTTATCGTTTTCACGAGGCGCTACAGTGGAGTGTAGTACTCAAAGAAAGGAGAACGCACACATATCAACTAACACCACAATCAAGAAGAGGGTAATCGAGCCACCAATTTTATTTCAAATACGATAGTAAAAATAAGACATTCAAGTTGTAACCAACAGGTGAGTCAGACAAAAGACAGCTGGGAAGGGCAAAAGAGAGAATTAACTTTCCTTCTAAAATGTGTAAGTCCATAAATACAAGGGGTCTACAACGACGACAGGATCATGTTTACTGTGGTCGCATTCACAGCACATTTCCCTTTTGAAGATTTAATCGCTCCACGAGATCAGTTAGAGAGCAAATAATGTGCTCAGCGGGAACTAGGCCGTCCGAAAAAGGTAGACGACTGTCGGAATTGACCCAGGATGTAAAGGAATTGAAATGAAGAGACGCGTTTGTTGGGAAAGTGTCCTTGTCCAAGCTACTTTTCTTACACCCTTCACTCGGTTTTAACAGAAAAGCAAGTCCGCATCCAGCCTTTCTTGCTCCCCAATAATCGCGATGTTCAGAATCACCCACGTGCGCGTACTGGAGCATACGATCTCTCACCGGAGTTTTGTGGTCGCCCACAAAATCAAAAAAACGGCTACAGACAAGTTCAAAAATCCTCCGATCTGGTTTCATAAAGTCACAGCAGCTGGAGAACAATACAAACTAAAAGTTTGAAAGTTTCGCATGTGAAAAGTTCCAAAGTACAAATTTGTCGTCATTAAGATGTTTCAACTCACGTGAAAAAACCTGCTAAGATTTAGTGCTTTTAACAAAACTGGAGTCCTTTCATCCGAATTCGATAGGACGCTTAAATGAACACCCGCTTCAACCAAGTTACACAAACCCTCTACTGCATTGGGTAAAACCTCCCAAGCCTCGTCACTTGCAAACCAGTCGTATATTCGGTTAGTAACGTTTACTTTAAGAATTCGTCGAACGTAGGCCTCACTAAAGGGAGAGCTTCCGGCTAGGGATTGTACAATCTTCAGAACAGCTGTAATCTAAGTAAGTAAACAAATTACCACTTCATTCCACCATCGTTTAGAATTGATGCCGTCTCGCTGACCAAAATTCGGCCACCTTTTTTCTACAACACCGTAGGACTCGTTGAATTTTGACATAAGAGTACAGTGATCAAACTCATAGTTTAGATATAATTTTCCAAAATGGGCATAGCTTTTAGCAATATCCTCTTTAGGAATAATAAGTGTTCGAAATAGATCAACAGACAAAAAGCGCACATTAGAGCCTCTAGGCATTATGATGCAACCTACTAAAAGGTCATTTAGCGTATTCAATTGAATCACATCTGAACTTAACACCCGAAAGTCCCAGATATGACAAATGTCTCACAGCTTTTCTAGGCAATCTAGTTTACGCAGATTTTAACCACTTTGCAACGGACTACAAACAGGTGAATCGTAAGTCACGCTGACTAGTAAGATTCTATGTTGAAAATATTGGTAATCAAAGAATTTAATATGAGCATTAGTTAAACTATCATCTTGATTTGGAAATTCGTCCTCATTGTGATAAAAGTAATTTTATATAATGATGGGTATTCGAATGCCTGTTAAAAAGTAATATATATTCCTACACACTAAATTAACTCCTTTTCAAGTTAATAACAAATTTAATGAAACTACTGAACTACATAGCTAGTGTAAAGACTAGGAGTGAAAAACGAATTAACTCAAATAAAGTAGTCTTTGATAACAGTGTTTAGAACTCAAAACTATTGCACCTAACCGCAAAGCACAATCTTTTTCTTCCAGTTTAATGCTTCTATATTTATGCTCCATTTTTAGACGTCACAGTCTGTTAACCATTTTTTCTCGTTGATAGAAAGTCTGTAATTTTTTGTTGTCCTAATTTGAAATTCATGATTTGTGCATTTAGACATGAGATTGGCAAATCGGAAATCAAGAGAAGCTAATGATCCATGCTTTTACATGCATACTTGCCTTGAATTTTAATGTGACTGGTCATATATCGCAATTTGTCTACAAAATATTTAAAATTGACTTAATCTTTTAGATTTCAAAATGTTATTCTTAGAATAGTCTAGCAATTATTTATCAACTTAGAAGTTGCCTAATACTACTCTGATTGCGCCACTGTTAACTTAAGCATATCTGGCAGATAATCCGACGTTTTTAAAACCTCGTGTTATATGTGCCCACATTCAGGCATAAACTTACCGCGCGCTATTCAGTGACCATTTCTCCATCTTTGTGATTGGTTCCAGATGGGCTGGGGTTTCTACACGTGTGGCCCAAATGAAGCACTTGTCGTTTCAGGTTATGAGCAAATGTGTACTATTATTTTGTAGGTTGTTGTCATAGCAAGCCGTACTATGTACCCGGGGGCCGAGTTTTTGTCCTGCCATTAATACAAAGACTTGACCGGTAAGAACCGTATGCTCCCTCCTGCTTTCTTTTTGCCCTGAGCTTTTTCCACCTGCTCCAAAATACATGGCTGACGTATACCCACGTTAACTTGGTTGCAAATCAGTTTTTTATTTCCGGTTGGCCTTGTTTTTTTGCGCAGATTTTGTTTCGCCTCCCACATTAATACCTAGGGTTGCTGTAATGAGAGGTATTGGCTAACACCCCGTTAGGGGCAGCGTTGCACAATTTTTCCAGTTTTATTTTAGTCTATTTGATGTGTTTTAGTCTTTCTTCCCATCAAATAGGTGTAGATTCCTTTTTTGATTGTCTTTCAGCACACGGTATCCTTTCCGTTGTGTTTGAATTAGTCTAAAATGTCACTTGTTGCCTGATCATCTCATCTGTAATTAATATAACCATTCGCTGAAAGAAGTTGTCTGCCCCTATCTTTTCGTTGCAATTTTGTCTGTGTTGCTGCTAAAAAAACTAATTTGGTTAGGGGGCTGACTAAATCACATTTGCCAGCATATTAAATTGCTTGGCTAATTAGAATCTTCTGTCTTGTTTATAGTATTTTATTTATTACAACTTAAGTCCTAATCGAAGATTTGTCTCATGTTAGATCCTGTATGCGCACAAAGTTAAAAACCTCAAAGCTTCCTCAACGTTCGAGTACTATCTACTGTACCATGTTCCAAGACAAGAAACCTTAGGATAACTACTGTTTTTCTTTATTTAGTATAATAACCAGAATTATTGACTATTTTTCTGCATTCTGCAACTTTCATCGTATTATATTTGTATTTTACATGTGTTGCCACCTGACACTCTTTCTTTCCCACAGGATTTCTCTTAATATCATGACCCTCATCATCGAAAGCCCGCGTATTTATACACGCAACGGCGTTCCAATTACCGTGACAGGTGTTGCTCAAGTAGGTATTGGATTTCTATAAAGAGTATGTGCTGAATCCTGTCATTTCGATTAGGGTTTTTTCCGTTACTCGATCTATATATCTTTTTCATACTCGTTACTTGAACCACTTTGGTCCCATAACTGGTTTCGTTCATCATTTGATGAATATTTTTTTTCTGGAATTAAAGTATGTCAATTCCATCGCTTGCATTTAATATCTGCAAAACTTCACAAAGTGCCTTTACTCTATTGAGATTGTTTTGTAGTACAACAAGATATCCAAAGCAAACAATTAGGCCTATCATTTCTTTTCTCCACTTTAGCCATTAACGTGTGCTTATTACGTAAGATCTTATGTCAGGTTTCACTACTGAAATGACTACCGTTGTTGCTTTTATGAAGCCTTTAGGTTCTCCAGTGCGCTTGATAATGCCGACTAATTCCATTGCTTTTAGGTGAAGGTGCAGGGCTCAAATCCTGAAATGCTAAGCGCAGCCTGCGAGCAGTTCCTCAGCAAATCAGAACGTGAGATACAAGAGGTCGCCAAGTTAACACTCGAGGGTCACCAGCGCGCAATTATGGGTAATATGACCGTGGAAGAGATATACAAAGATCGGAAATTATTTTCTAAATGCGTCTTTGAAGTTGCAAGCTCTGATCTAGTCAACATGGGCATCAGTGTTGTGAGCTACACTCTGAAGGACATCAAAGATGACGAGGTTAGTTGATTTTGTCTCGGATTTTCCGTGTACGGTAAGAATTGGTACACGTGTCTGAAGAATGTATAAGTTAAACGTCGGAGAATTCTTTACTGCCAGGACGACGGTTCTTCGTTGCTGCTTATTTTTCACAACGCCTAAATTTTTACTGGAAAATGCTAGTTGTTTTTTTGTCTCACCCAAATGATGTTTCATTGTATAACTTAACAATGTGAATGTCTTTGTTTGATGACTTCTGTCCACTTGAATCAAATTGGCTTCTTTTAATGTCCAATCAGAATGAAATAGGGCTGTATGCAATCGAGTTACAAGCAGTCGCTTCACGGAACTTTGCGGTCGGTGACCGTCCATGGCATTATCCGAGTCCCCTCATCCTCTGATTTGTTTGATATAATTTGATAAATAATGTTGACCTCACCTGTTGATCCCAGATGCCAGAACTGAATCCATCCGCAATCTTTAATAACGAGGACAGTGTCGTGTTGCTATGACACTTCACTTTCTGTCTACAGAATTAATGGGTGTGGAAATTTGTCACAAGGATGTGAATTTGCTGGAATTTCTTGGCAAGCCACGAACTTGGCATAAACAGCTTGACAAGCCACGTGGGATGGGACTTCGCTTTGCGACTTAATAGAATCTGCACCATTAACGTAACACTAGTGGACAACTATTGGTGGTTTATCGTTTTACTTTTGGTGGTAAATGCAAATTTTGTGCTTTACCGAACTCGTTTACGCTGTGCCGTGGATTCCTCGAAAGTATGTTGGTTTAGGGACAGTGCGACTCCCCTGCTCGATCTCTTTCTCATGACAAAATCATCAGGAAGATTCTCTTGTGTAGTAGTGCTCGAAGTTTGAATTTGCCTGCCTCCTTAAAGCAAATTTTTTGCGTATTTAAAGGTTTCGCCTGTTTTGGGTGCCTTTTGAGTTTTCGAAACCTGATTTTCATAAGAAAGTTTCTGATTGCTGCGACCTAAATACTTCTCCTAAAGTCGATCACAAAACCTTTGTCGCCACCTTATTCCTTTTTCAATCTCGAGGTCATCTGAGCCATTTCCACCCCCATTGTTAGGCAAAATGCTCTTGAATTTTAAGGGCTACCTGGAGGCACTCGGGATGGCTCGAACCGCCCAGGTGAAACGCGACGCGCGAATCGGCGAGGCGGAGGCCCGAAGGGACGCCGGAATTCGCGAGGCCCAGGCCGAGGACGCGCGAATCGCCGGTCAGTTGAAAAACGAGGCGCTCATCGCCAAGGCCAAGCGCGATCTCGCCCTGAAACAGGCTGCTTGCGACAAGGAAGTTCAGGCGCTTAAGGCCAAGTCACAACTCGCCTACCAGTTACAGGTCAGTCGCATTCCTCCCCCCTCCCACTTTAATGTTTAGTCCATATTGACTTGTGAAACTGTCATCTTTCGGATGCGTTAATCCTTGCATTGTATTTCATTATTTTAGCATGTTCGCCTATTGTACCACGGTAGAACGCGACAAAATGACAAGCGAACTTGTTGATGAAATTCTGTGTAGTCGATTGGCCTGTCTCCATAAGTGAATTCATGTCGGGTGCGATTCGGAATAAATTTGCGTGTACACATCGCCGCTACATTTTTTTAAGTAGGTACATGCTAAATCCACGATCATTGTCACGTGGAGGGGCGTTAACTTCTCCACCACTTAGTGTGGGTCGGAATTGAAGCAACGTGGTTTCTCTCCACTCTCAAGTAGCAGTTGGCTTCGGTTCCGTTTGACTGGTTTTGATTCACTGACTAGCCACTTCGTCAAAACGGGCACTGTTGAAGTTAAGATCATCTTCTAGAGGTTAATTTTAGGGTCCGCTCAAATTAGCCTCTTGGCTACCTTCATGTAAACGGTCACTCCTCTTTGGGGGAAATGCGCGCACCGCCCTAACAGCCGAATACAATTTCTGTAAGGCTGGAGATTTTTCCAACTTCAATTTTTCGGTGTGTAGGTGTTATATTTGTCAATTGTTCAATTTGTTCAATTTGTCAATCCTGCAGGGGCCCGTGGCATTTCCTGTCAGTTATTTTGGAATGCCTTTTGTGAGTTTGGAAGCCCTGTTGTAAATGAGCCAATTTGTCTTCAGGATAAGGCCGACGAATCCGTGCAGTCCGATTTGAAGTTTTATAACCGCCTCTTTTTGCTCCTTAGTTGCGGCTTTTTATGCAAAATTGGAAGTCCTCTGCCTCCAGGCCGGGGCACTGGATTGAGCTGGCAGTTATGTAGACACAAACCCATGCACTTACAGTCGAGAGCGAATTTGTAGTATTATTCAACTCAAGGGGGTTTTTCTCGACAAATTTAATTCGTTTTTTTACACAGCGTTATCTCGACCATCAAAAGACACACGCACACACACACACACCCGAGCCAGCCTCAACCGACCAGACACCGGCGCAGCAAGCTTCACCTGCTTGATGTTGAAATGAATCGACTTTGGGCGCGTATAGTTGTTTCAATTTCTGTTCTTCAATAGCAACATTGATGGTGTGCTACATGTCCCTCGACACCACAAACAATGGTGTTTACCACAGTTGTTTATCTGCTTATTTCGTCTGTCCATTTTCGTACATTAGGCAGCCAAGACACAGCAGGAAATCAAAGCCGAGGAGATGGGCATCGAGTTGGTGGAACGAAAGAGGCGCATTGAACTGGAAGAGCTTGAGAAGGAACGCATGAAGTACATCCTGGACGCAACAGTTCGGAAACCAGCTGAATCCGAGTGCTTCCGATTAAAGACCATCGCCGAGGCTGAACAGGTAACCTGATTTGACTCTACTTAGAAGGCTTGTGTAGCCCCCAGGCTTTCTCAATGCCCATAAATTGCTCCATTGCTAGCCCATTCTCGGCTCTTCATGTGGTCCTGTGTGTTTCCAGCAACCCGCGTCTTTAATATAGGGTAGTTGTCTGGGAAGCCCCCAGCGTAATCCGGAAATTCCGATCCATTGGTGCTGCTTCGGGTTTTAGATTGAGTGAAGCGTCATTTAGGGTATGCGTTTTGCTTTTGAAGCCAGGTTCACTCCATATTATGAATAGTCAGTGATTTAATTTTTGCCTTCTTAAATGCAGCGTTTTAGTCGTGTCTAATGCTCCACTCGTGGAGAATGTAGATGACCTTTTAACTAGCGTCTTAACTGACTAAGGCATCCCAATTAATGTATATTAACCTGTTCTCGAAGATAATTGCATCGAACCAAAATCTCACTAGCTGTCTTGTGAAAAGCCTGTCTCGATCAGTTGAAATTGTGGCTCCTATCTCTCAAAATATGATCGATACAGCTCCTTCTTCATTCAAGGGTCCAGTTTGCCACTTTCTTTCCGGCGGGTTCAGTCTTTGTCGTTGTGACCGCCTCTGGTTCTTTACTTGGCTCTTTGCTCTTTCAGATTCGCGTTACGGCCGAGGCCGAAGCCGAAGCCGAGGCCATCAAGCTTCGTGGATTGGCTGAAGCCGACGCAAATCGTGCCGTTGTTCTTGCAGAAGCCGAGAAAATGAAGAGGGTCGCAGAAGCTCTCAAGAACTACCAAGTTAGTCTTCATACATTGACTGCATTGAGTCGTTTGCGATGGTAATTGCGATAACCCATGCATTTCTAGTGGACGAGGGGGGAATATTATCGAAATGTGAACTTGAATCTAACAATGCGTTTCATGTGATTCACCAAAGCATGCGATTATGGTTCATTCACTGCAGTGTTAAAGTTGCCAGCAGCCTGCCTGAACAGTGCCCAGTCGCCGCTGGAAAGCTCTAAGACGCCTTATCATCAACAGTTTCATCGTGCTAAAGTAGTGATTTCGAAAAGGCTGGAATACAGTCGTTTTCTTGTTCATTCTTTCAGAGCGCTGCCATGTTGGATATGGTGCTGCAGACCCTCCCCCGCGTTGCAGCCGAGGTTAGCGCCCCACTAGCTCACTGTGACAAGGTCACCATGGTGTCCACTGGTGAGGGCGATGTCGGCATCGCCAAGCTTTCCAACGAAGTAATTCGTGTTATCGAGGGTCTTCCACAGCTGGTCAACTCTCTTACTGGCCAGGACATGAAAACGTATATTCCAGCACGCTGATTAGGTATTAGCCTATTCACGTCACCTATCTTCCTCAGTCATTGTCTTGCTTTGTGTATTTTGTGTATGCTTTACTTTTCGTGGCTGTAACCATAATCTGCGTTCTTTAATTACATTGATTCCTTCAGCAGCGATGAATTTCTGCTACTTAGCACTTTATTCCTACCGCGGTTTTTCATAAGTCTCGTTAAAATGAGTGGGAAATGGAACACTCGTGCTGTGTCATTGCTTGCTTTACGTTCGACTGCGCGTCTGATTTTCCTGGTTTTCGAGTTAACAGGGGGCTACGGTGCTACCTTCTCTTGTGATTCGTGTTCACTGCAGAATAGTCATTCGATAGCTTTGCTGTCGTAAAATCGAGCGTAGCCATCGAGCAACGAACGACACCCAACATCCTAGTTATCTAACAGTTTGTTAACTGTAGTTCAGTTGGAATGGCGCTTGTTTTATCGGTCATCGTTGCAAAGCCCAAGCATTCAGTTTCGGCAGTGAACTTTTCTAGCCCAAGGGACTCAACGAACGCAGCCTTGTTGAAGCAACCCGATTACTCCGGAGACAAGACCTTACAGCACCCTGCGATGTTTCACTTCTCTCCTAAGTCGATTTTGCGCCATGTAGTTTTTGCTGCGATGGACATGGTGCGGCCGTGCGCAGCCGGCTTTTTGTGCAGTGTACTTCGCAAATCGGCCGGCGGCCGGATGCAGCGATTTACACTTCCCCCCCTGCGAACTAAATGATTTCACTAATATACGCGACCTTTAACAACCTGAAGGTTTTGTAGCTTTCGGTGTGAGTTGAAACTGGCTTTCGTCATTCCAAGCACAGCGGTCAAACTTCAGGCTTCCGCCATTCTATTGGTAGGGATTGCGAGTTAGCCCATTTTAACTTCCTAAGTGGCCGAAATTGGAAAAAATCGATGCAGCCATAAGCAGGGCGATTCGATAGGGGGGTTGTTAACGTCTTACCGCCTGTCTTGCTGCCTTCGAAGGCTGCACCTCCAGCCTACTCGGTGAAATGGAGAAAATTAAAACCAACTTGAACCTCTCCGCCAATACACGATTTAATCCCAAACCCGCAAAAAAATTGAAGAAGTAGCACAGCAAGTACACCGAGTTTCTTCAAATTTTATGTAAACAAAATTGCAAAAGTGCATTTCATTCGAATAAAAAGATAGCATTATCCGCAGTGGGGGTTGCGGCAAGCAGTCTCATAAGCAAGGGCGCGCGCGCGCGGATCCACGAATCTTAATAAACTAAAAGGTTCTGAGAGTGTAACCTGAGGTTGTACAAGTTACTCTTTCCGTCGTAAGCGACGGGTAATTATCTTCCTGAGTCATTACACAAAAGGGCGCCTTTGTCATAAAACACATAAAAAGAAGCATGGACCAAGTCGGTGATGATAAACAACAAAGTTGGTTGTGAGGTAGTAGTGTTGGGCGTTAGGGGGGAAAGAGAGGATTGCAGATAAACGCAGATAAATCCCAGCCGATTTGAAATAGTTTTACGTTTACAAAACAAGCATAGAAACAAGTGTTTGAGTAAATACTGTAAGCCCTGAGACGAGTGCGTCATTTTTGACGATTATGATCGGTCGCAGCAGCTACGGTTGCCCTGGGCGACTCGATTCGAGGAAATTGGAAATCTGATAAGGATTGGCAGACGGAACGCCTGGCGCGTTCCAGTGATCGTGTACTGACCAATTACTGTCCTCCATTTTGATAGCATGTGACTGAAGCTGCCAATGACCAATTGTAGTTGATGGTGTGGCAACGGGCTGCTGGATCAGGACAGAGGTCGATGGAAAGTGAGTTTCACTTGCAAGATCGGAATTGTCGGTTGTGGTGCCTGTCCCCAACACGGACACATTCATAAGAGCCCTAGCTGAGAATGGCGGATCTGTGAGTTGGTACATTTCCACGTACAAGTCCGGGTAGCCCAGGTCGGGCCTTGTCCTCTACGAAACGGAAGAACACGTGTTACTTATTTATAGCAAGTAGCGTGTATGTTATCTACCACGAAGCACACGTACCTTCATTTGGATGGCAATGTCTTGGTGCTCTTTGCTCATGGACGTAAGCATCTCACTGAGAGACTCCAACCGAGTCCACTTGTGGTCTACGACTTCTTGAGGCTGGTTTTGTGCTGAAGGAATATTCAGATTTTTTCGAATGTCAAATATGCGTGCATTTGTCAAAGTTGTAATCATGGACGGCCAACCCTACTACTTTATAGCAACCGTTTGTAGCTTGAGTAGGAACGCTCCTTGGGTGAATGAAAATGTCCGAGGAGACACCACACAAGTGGAGTGTGGGCTGGTTTCCCTGTCTAGCAATGGCAAGCACCATTAACATAACTGTGAGAGGACTGTTAAAAACAATCTCATTGAGTAGAACCACTAAATTTAGGACACGAGCATATGAGACTGTGGGGCACGTTTAAGCAAAGAGACATCAGAAACGCAAATTGGGACTCACAGCGCATGCCAGCGAGCAAAGAGTGTTTGGCGAGTATCAATAATTTCCTTGCATCCGTGTAAGATTGACCTGTCAAAATTTGGAAATCTTAAAAGAACAAATGAGTTACGTGTAAGGCTGTTTAAAAAGATTAAACACACCTGTCTGCAGCGTTTTAGCCTAAACATCTGTCTCATCGATTTTTTCCCATGTTCGCCACAAAGGAGGTTAAAATGGGCTAATTAGCAACCTCTAAGTGCTGTGTATGGAATGACGAAATGAGTCGAACATAAAACATGCGGATTTGAGGAAACAAATCAACTCACTTCTGAGTATTTCAATGGCGCAGACGAACGAGAACTCGGAGAGGGAGAGATTGAGCTGTTGAAAGAAGCGACCTGAAATGGACAAGTGTTCGACGACCCTGTTGTAGGAGGGGAAGTGGCGAAGAATGACGTCGCGCTCGGAGGGCGTGAAGTCGAAGTAGTTGTATTTGCCCTCTGCAGGCTCGAAGTCGCGTGCCATCAGCAGCAGCATCACTGGGTACATCCCCTCGCGCACCAGATTCCCACGGCCCGCCAAACTGAGCTGGTTGAAGCCTATGCAGCACAGTTCAAAAAGGTAACTTCAGCTACACACCAAACATCGAAATGCTCTAATGCTAAGTAACAGCCGTTGCATGTGTGCCTTGTCATAGTAATAGCAAAAAAATGGAGTCTCGTCACAGAAAACGGACACACTCGAAAAAGCCTTGGAGGAGTAAATGTCAGTTCCGATTTGGACATTGCCCGAAGGCAAACCGAGGGGCAGACTGAATTAATTCACTCAACGCATCGGATATTTTCCCCAATTCATTTGTACGCTTCATTCTGCCTATTTCTGTTAGAAAAGCACCTTCAGAAATTTTGACATCAATATTTGTAGCCCTCAAAAGTTTGAAGAAATTAATCAATTCTGATCGTGTCAGCCGGGACTGGATTGGCTGGTTATCAAGAAAGAATCACCCTGTTATCGATTCTCGCCTATCTTTGATAAAAAAAAGTACAAGCCAAGCAAATTAACATATTGTGTATAAAAAAAAGTTCACAGATAACACACAAGTCGATACAAGGCAAATTGTGACGTGTAAAATCTTGTGATTATTAAGGGTCATTTAATTACTTAATTCTAATGAATCGAAGATTCCAGTTCGTGCTTTTTTACGTGAATGGTTAACTCTTAGACACTTTGGTATGCCTTATAATATAGATGTTAACTCTCACGACGGGCATGTTTAGGAAAACACGCAGAAGCAAAATTGGCACTCATTTCGACCACCGGCTGGGTACACATGGCACAGATATTGTCTATTAATTTATTTGGGACCAATTTTAAAACTTATGTGAAATTGGACACGATAAATTTTCTTGTAATGTGCCAATTTTTTAATCGCAGACATAGTGCAAAGGTTATATTACGTAACACTCAGAATCAATGAGCGGAAATTCAGTGAGGGATCACAGCTAGACCTACATTGCACGCTGGGGTGCAATTACACCTTTGAGAGAAGGGTGCCAAATGGACGGGTCCGCAATTAGCCCGAACATACAAGTCGGTCACAAACAGCCACCAATTCTTGCCGATGTGTCATACCGCCGGTGCATCCACTTCAAGTCGATGAGTCACCCTTCTCCGGGAGACGATTGGCTAGCGGAACGAGAGTGAGCAGGGTAGGCTACATCATGAAGCCAACACGACACCGTCCACCAACCCCTCGGGTGAATGAAACCGTGGCAACGAACCGCGTTGTGAGTGAGGCAGTCCTTCCGCCAGACATTTTCTTGAAACCTACCCTTTGAAGCCACAATGCCGGCACAGCTCACGTGACACGGGAAAGACGAGCTTTACGGGGAGTCGTTTGTGTGTGTGAATTGTTGGGACAAAGCCACGTGACGTCGCGCGCCCACGCCTTCTTCCACACGCACGCGCCAGGAATGAATCAGCCCGCAAAGAAGTTGTTTACGCGAAGGCAACGTGCTCTCCGGCCCCGCTGATTGGTCGAGGCCTTGACCGCTGGGTGTGCGAGGTCGGGCAGCGGCTGCGACTGGAGGTGGACTTTAACGGCCGCCAAACAGGGGAAAGTCAACCAACCCTCGCGAAAGCCATCAGAGCCTCTGGCTAACAATGCCATTGAGCTCAAAACCACCGTCAGTTAAGACTGGAGCCAAGTTACCACAATAATTCCCAACTTTTGTGAAAACCAACTGATGTGCGAAACCGAGTTTATCAAAACATGGAGATTTTCTCAGGGCTGGGCTCGATTCACATAAGAAAATATGGGTCTACTGAGAACCGTTGAGTATTCTTTAGTTATAGGACCGAGCCGAATTTCGCAGAAGTGATGGTCGTACTAGGTTTGGAATAACTTTGTTTCCGCCATATCACTATACTCTGGAATTTTTAGTGTGATTTTGCCAACAAACACCCCTCAGATGATGGAAAATTGCATCGTACAGTGTCAAAATACATCCCAGATTGGTTTTTCTTTTGATGGGAGTAAGGGGAGTGGTCAGTGGGGGGAAGAATGCCGTGTGAGTCAGAGTGGGTTGGCGAGAGAAAAATGGGACAGCTGACGGAATGCACGTTGGGCTTGGCTAATTTTAACGCAGTAGGGGAGTCACGTGACTGCCGATTCGTAGGAGAAGCGTGGGTCGCGGTGACACACGAGAAGGAACACCCTTTAGGCGTAGCATTCCTGCTCTGCGAGTTGGCTCAATTAGCCGATTACAGCAGTGCAAAAATAAACGCGTATCAAATTATGAATTAGCAAAAACAATAGGTCATATGAAGTTTGATCGCATTATGGCATCGGCAAACCCGTGCGACGCTTCTGGAGATGTAGGGGTAAACGTTTAAAGGTATTCAGTGGAACGCCCTTTTCTGCACCAAGGTCTAGTTGTCTGGCACGATGATAGCACCAGCTAAATGATTCGCCAGTGCACACTACTGATCAGCGTTTTCCCCCGAAGTTCAAACGAATGGACCGGAAATGAGCATGCAAGTGATTGCCAGCGTATTCGCTGTCCATTTTTTCTCAAAATCTAGACTACTGTCTGCAGCAATGTGTCCGCCTAAGCCCTCCAATGGATTTGAAGTGCAAGCCTGCCAAATGAAGCCATCGTCCAGGGTTATTTATTGCCATAATGCCACTAAACATGCCAAAGTATGTGCCCTGGGTCGAAATTTCGGATGCCGAGTTGTTGTTTTCGGTTGCATAAGCGTTAACAACAGGACACAAAGTACTTTAGTCGCAAGCAAACCGGCTGCGGTTGTGACCCAGACATAAACAGTTGCCTAAGTTACTAGTTGGCTCCGGTGGAAACCAACCTGGAATAAGCTTGGCGAATTGGACGATCTGCTGGGAGTGAAGGTGAAAATGATTCATGACGTGGCCCCACACACGATGAGCATCGTCCACGTGGGCCGGGTCAATGGAGCTGATGTCGAAGCGCGACTTGAAGTACTACAAAGGAGGGGAAAGAATAAAGCCGAGTTAGTAACAAATTCCGAAGGGGAAAAGCAAGACGTGAAGTCTCTCGACTAGTAGAGAACTATGCTCTCAACTTTGGTAGGGTGAGTTCGGGGGGTGATGAAAACATTGTTAAAATATCAAAGGAAACACCCGCCAAGGGTGGAAATGTGGTGAATTTCTAAGTGCCAAGCAGCCACGAAATTGCAAATAGCCAGGTTCAGCTTCTTCAGATCCCACTTAAAGGTTCCATTCAACATAATTTGAATGTTACTCATTTGCTAACCATCAAAGGTACCACGCTACTCAGAGTAATTTTTTCGCCTATCAACATCTAGACAAATTTGTGGTTGATATTTCTGTGCGTACTGAGCCGGTCACTGATACCCGTGACAGTAAAAGTGACTTCTGCATAGTTGGAAACTTGACGCACATTTAGGTGATTTTACATTATTTGAAGTGATTGTCCATGGTATCAAGCGGAAAAACCCACGACATACCGCGTTGGGGAGCCGCAAAAACTCAGTCGCTGTGCGCATTCCGTAATTGAACCACGCGATCCCATCTAGCATGACTTCCTCGTTTGGCCCGACCGTCCTCAACACTGTGGCTTCTGACGACGAGCCGGGGGAGCCATCACACCCTGGAATTTGCGTTCTAATCAAAGAGGCTGGCGCAGCCACCGAATCCTGGCAGCTGCCTATCAGTCCCTCCAATTTGACCGGAGCAGATGCCTTGCGTTTTGGAAGTGTCGCAGTGGAGGCCACCAGTGTCGAGGCTGCATAGCCTGCCAGATCACAGGCGCCGGCAGAAGCCCGTCGCTGTGAAGCGACCGGTCCTATACCAGCTGGTGAAACCACTGAAGACGGTGAAATGGAGGGGGGTCCGTTCGAGGGGGAGGAGAGCAACGTTGGAAGTGAGCAGTGTTTACGGGATTCAGCGGCGAATTCGGAGGCCAGAAGCTGACCACTGTCTTGCAATTGACGAATTTCTATGGCACAGTGGAATTTGACCGCGTTCGGCTGTCGGCCTATTCGACTTCCTACAGTGGAATGATTTTTTTCAAATACAAGCTCATCACTGGGCCCAATTTAAGGCAATAAAGTGTGGAAGGGGTATTGGACGGACTCTAGCTTCATCCCTTCAAGGTTTAATTGTTCGAAACATTTTGAAAAACAAGTGAGCATGCGTCCTTTTATTAATGCTTGAAAGTATCCTATAAGTATTGTTTTTTTAGACGGTAACCGATGATGTGGTGGATGTGGTGGCTCTGCTGGGAGCTATGAATTTTTGCCAGTGGAACATAAACACGGAGAGTGACGAGAGCATCAGAAGAACAGGCCACAAATTGCATCAGCCCCGACATTGCATACCTACATATGAGCCAACCATGAAACGATACCACTGTTCAGAGCCTCCACAAGTCTGATGCTCAGTGCCTGACCGCGTTATTGTGAAGTTGGCAGTCATCAAGGGGCACAAAATTGGCCGGCGCTAAAGGGCTAGGGAGGGGAGTCATCAACACGCAGTCCGACATTGCGGTCAAGTTCTGTCAGACATGTGTGAATGTAGCGAGCAGAACGGAAATGTCGGAAAACCGTCGGACGCACTGAGGAGCTGCCCTAATCCCCCGCATTACCTCAAAGGCTAAGGGGCGAAGCCTTACCCTAAGCAACCAATCAATGATGAAATCAAGTTGGCTGCTTCAGACCTGCTTTAAAATTGGAAACTACTAGAAGCACGAGCAAACTGTTAAAAGCTACGCTAAACGTCCGGTCGTGTGTTCAGTTCTAGTGAGAAATTCAACGATGTTTTGAATGCCTTTGGTTCCGATGCTGCAAGCGAGAACCACACAATACTACCACTTTTCTTTATACAACACATGAGTATGTCGGTAAAGGTGGTGAAGCGACGATAATTGATCAGGTTGTTTTGACATTCCGGTCTGGGACCCAGAAATATCTGATGCGACCTAATTACGACTAATTACCGGGATACAAGGGCACATCAAATCACTTTAACATACACAGTTTGACGTCCAGTCTTCCAGTTGTTTGAACTAGTTGTTCAGTCAGGTTGATGATTTATGCAACTAACATCTCAAACTGAAAATTTAAGACTTTCAAAGGAAACTAATGAACTACACCTTAATAGATCAGTTACAGCAAGCGAATCATGGAACAAAACGGGACATTTGTGATCTCTTGCGCGGGTAAAACTGAAGAGAAAGCAACGGGACCATGTGATGGCAAGGCGCATGTTTACACTAATGTCCCGAATATGAACGCTCATGATTGAAATAAGGCAGTTCGTTTACCTGCAACATTCTGATCACCCCGGGAATTCAGTGCATTAACCTAGTTGATTGTTAATTTGATACATTTTTTAAAGAAAATGTAGGCTTCGTCTACATAGTGGTCATTAAGCCTATCGATATTAGCGTCCAATTTGTTATACGGTTAAAACAAACTGTTGAACTATCGTACTTGCAATATACACTGGCTTTCCTGCATTGCTTAATTCATCTGTGCCAACACTGACTCTAAAACTGTACCTCCAGAAGTAAACAACGGCACAGGATATGCTGTTCTTCTCTGATGAGGACCAAACGTGCGACTTGTGAGAAGATGGATGTATGCCTACCTTTCTGCGACTGACAGTTCGCGACAAGGAAACTGATTATCATGAATGCTAAGAAACTGCCTTACTCCTGGCCCAACCAATACGATTCAAGTCGGCTATGACTTAAGGGATCGATTATATTTTGAAACGTACAAAGCACTAGGTGCTACTATCTGAATGGATTTGAAGCAGACCCGTCCCCCTGATTTCATTCGACCTCTCTTTTATAAAAGAGCAGAGGTTACAACTTCAAATTTAAAAGGAGCGCGAAAGGTTAACTGGCATTGGTGGTTAAACATAATAGGGGGAAAATGGATGCCAAAAGCGACGTACCGCGTTTCGACATGCCAGCTCGAAGACAGCGCCGAAAACGACAGGCCTTGCAGACGTTTCGGCTTCTTGGGGTGATGGTGCAATTGTCCTTTCCACCAACGCAAACCAGTCTGCCGGCAGCCTCCTCTGTGCGTCGAAAGAAACCCTACCAGGTAGAAAATGCTCATATTTTTTATGCGTAAATAGTAGGAAATGCGAGAAGAGACGGCCGCTCTTAACAGAACAGGCGTTGATAGCTAATCCGGTGACTTTAGAAATTCTCTATGGTAAATCTATCACAATTTCAATTACGTCAAACATACAACTGTAATCTGAGAAGGGAGAACGTCTAAAATGCACTACACCCAAAAACACTAGATATAACACACGAACGCATTTTAGGTCAAATGTGATTCGATTTTTTTGTGGCATTTCCGTGCACACGGGAGGCATCATGTAACCAAATAATGCCAAGGGGCATCATTTTCCCCTTCGCGCTTCCTAGGATATTACTCAATAAGCCAGTTATTTAGGATTACTTTTAATGTAAAGATCACGCTCGACATGGTTTTACTGCTAAGGAGCCAGTGGTGGTGGTGTTGGATGTGGTTCCATCAAGGCAGAATTAGCGACAAGATATCAATGCCAATACCGGTTGCGCTTTATCCATCACCACCCCTCGTAATGAAGCGGGTTCACGAACAGTGGCTAACCCCAAGTACAAGCATGCCTACATACAGGTGCTCAGCTAAGGGATCGGATAGTCTTCTAATGGCAAAACCACATGAATTCAGCAAAGGTATCTTCTTAAACAAAGGCTGAAATACACTTACTTATCCGTTGTCCTAAAATAAGCATAAGACAACTTTGGCACACACCACACAACCAAAATAGGAACGTATCGCCAAAAGTGTCCTATGCATGTCAGTTATGTTGAGTCGAAAGCGCGGGTAAATTTGATAAATTAACGTAGACAAGAAGAGCAACTAGTTTATGTGAATATGCATAATCTCTAATTGGGTTGTTTCACTATCGATATTGTAATGAGCACAAAACATCTTTGCAGGCATAGAACTCTACTTGTATGGAAAAAACCGACTCAAACAATTAAGGATGCGTGAAATCTTTCAGAATACACTTTTGTCAGTTTTACGTGACCCGGTCAAAAGGCAAAATTTACGAACATGATTTTTGCACAAGGCATCCGGTGGCGTAAACCACGGGTGGACTCGCATCCCAGCCCGGCCTTAGACTAATGCGTGCGCTCGTGCACGACGGCAACCTTGGCTTCCGACTGACCTTGAGACCGAGACCACTGCCCAATCACCCACAGCATCGTCACGACAACGTCAAGCGAGGTTTTGTTTACAGCTCCGTCTGGGAGTAGTGGGTGACCTTGGGATGGGCTTTTTCCCACCAACACTACTTCTACTATCACAGGTATTCACATATCACATTCCACACAAAGCAGGTGTTTGGTGGTTCAGAACACTTGGGCGGTTCTATGATGAATTAGTGGCCATAACGAGGCCCCCACCAAACACATTGGGACCAATCCGCAATCCTTTATTTAGTGTTCAAAAATCCCAGGTCCTTACATGCGGAGCCATTTGCTTCTGTGAAGTATCATTGGTTGGGTGTTGTTTACTGAGTTAATCACACTCTGTCTTCGAATAAGTCAAGTGTGTGCCCCATCAGCACGTTGTGATGAAAAACAGAACTTTAACCAAAAAGCTGTTAATAATCTGCTTCAGCATTAGTGGTATCAGGTACTCCAGAGATTGGGAAATTAGAAATTTGCACTTTTCCTAAATTATAAGTTACCGCAACAAAGACCAAACCTGATAAGCAAGGGAGTTGCTGGAAGAAGCTGCCTTAAATTTGAGGTGACTGATAAGTTTACTGCAGACCGACCATGTCCTGGTGCCTTCATCACGCTAACAGTGTAGACTACTCTCGATTAGGACTTGAACAATAAGTAAGGACGTGGATGCAATCATTACCAACAGTACCACTGCTAAGTCAATTACTGAACAACTCAAATTTGTGCTGCGGTCCGTCAAACCTAGTAATTCGGGCATTTACCAAGCACCCGCCTGCAGATTGTGCGAGGGCCTGATCCTGCCTTGTGTTCTAACGTACTAAACTTCATTGACACGAGAAGGCCACAGCCGACAGTCTGGCTTCGTATTCTGATGGACTCCCTTACCTGCATACCTACTTGGGTTGTTTTACACACTGACCAGAGGTGAGCCCTATGCCCGATATCACTATTGTCGCCGTGATTTGAACTTTCCTTTTGCGCTGGCTTGTCAATTTTGGTCCTTTCTCAATCTTTTGATTGAGAAACTCGGTCGTGCGCGGCTACGAACGACATCCTACCATCCAGTTGCAAATGGCATGGTGAGGTGTTTTCACTGACCTACAACAAGTAAGACAGTCGATGTGAAAAACCGCCACTCGACTCTCCCCTGGCTATTTAAACTACCATCGCAGACGGGCTGTAATCGTGTCTGTGAGTCCTTTTGTCCCAAAAGCTCACCCCTTGTCCCCCCCCAAACTTGCAACGCGATTGTAGAACCTCTTGCGGTCACAGAAACTAACTTCTGCTAGCTCAACAAGCCTAACCACCCACCCTAGTTGGTGTACCGCAAAGTGATGTGGTGCTGACACCTATGCAAATCTCGAGTAAAGATACAAAACAGTAATAAACAGACTGTTCAAATACAAAACACTTCGTTTCCAGAGGTCGGGGATGGGCCACATTTTCTTAGGCAGATGTATCACAAATTCTACTATCATACTTTTCCCCTTGACTCGGAGACAGTACACTGGGTCGTAGAGAAAACCTCTTGACGTTAAAAATCGATTGCAAGAGACAACCACGAACATACTTGAGATTAACTTTTATTAAAAATATTTCAAATGCACAAGTCAACCAAATATATTATTTGTTTTCATTAAAGCTCAGGGTTTATTGCACGCATAAGCTCGTATACACAAGGGGTTTCGGATGAACTCGTCATTTTCGCCACAGTCACTTAAAACGAGAAAAGTGACTGGGGCTTGTCTTCCACTTCTGCTGTGATAATATTTGTCTGTTTTCACGAAACGCGGCTCACAAAGCTAATTTGTAAAAAAATTGCCTTGCAAACGGGATTAGACAAGCTCCAAAATACACTGTTACCATAAACCTCCAAATTCGGAGACACCACCAACGGTTACCTTCGGTTTGCGAACGTAACTTCAAGTAAAATCGTGGTTTTTGAATCTCATCTTAGAGTTCGGTTCACGCAGGAAATGAGTGGTGCAGGAAACTGGCACGGTTGACGAACCATGCGAATACTTTCCGTTAGACGCAACAGTGCGAGTCTCTCTAGTCCAACTCTGTTTTTCGAACAACACGATGGAAGAAACTTTGTACCGAAAAGTAAATTTACCTGAATCGGGCCGTTTTCAACAGCATCACTAACAAAATGCACTTAGAACGTTATTACAATCTTTGAGGTGCCATTAGTATATCAAAGTGCACGAGCCAAAACACATTCCACCATTACTACACGCCGCCTTTTCAATTGGCCGCCGTCAGAAGTAGCATAAACAGGATTGAAGAGGTGCATTTTAAATGTAGTACACTGGAGACGGTTAACACGCACCTTGATAAACTGCCACAATCAACTTACACGGACTCATGACTACACTGGAGTGAGAGCTCGGATAAATTACTGTGAACTTAAAGTGAGGTGTGATATTAGTGAGACAGGGCAAGAACAGATTACGGCCTCCAAATTCAGCGACCAATGAGTCATGCTTTGGATAGAATCGTAAAACCGACCCGATAGACGGGGGAACTTTAGGGAATCAGACAGTTCTGACCACAAATTTTCCTCAAAACTCAAACTCGAAGTCAAAAAAGTTCCTGTTTGTCTCGTTGAACCTCTTTATGAGTAGTCTCGCACGAAATACAAAGCGACAGCAATTCAAGTTCGAGTCAGCAGGTTACTTAATTGAGGCCACCGACTTTTCTATCGCGCATTCCCTGTGAAACCACGTAGTCAGCATTGCTCAACGAAGTGCAATGTTTACTTAACTATGGTTATTTCACACTACATACGACTGAACCCAAACTGACTGCTTGAAAACAATGCAGGCTCGTTACTTAGTGAACACGTTAGTAGAAATAGATTACTCCGGTGATGGATACTTACTTTACAGCCTTCACAGGTAAGCGCACCGAAGTGAAACCCCGAGGACCGACCGCCGCAGACGCGACATGGAATGTTGGAGATGTCCAGTTCTCCTTGGCCGTCCATATCTTTTAACGACAAGAAAAAAAACGATACTCAAATGCAATTAAAGGAAGAAATCGGTCCCGCTCTCTGGATACTAGGTAATACTGCACCGAGTAGCAGTCGTCGATGCCATTTCAAGCGGTCATTGAATTTGGAGTTCTCTAGTTCACAGGAGTACCACATGGCATCTAACACTTCACTTTGACATCGTGGTTCCGCCGAATGAGCACATTGAAAACTAATATTTTGACGCTCGCGGTGTGGTTAATGGCGAAATCAATCTATACCAATTTGCAAGAGGAGAATCCTTTAACAACTTAGAGAGTATGCGTTGATTTGCTTAATAACCCCACGTCGTACCTTTGTAGACAATCGCCCAAGTGGAATGTGAAGCCACTCTTTCAGTGTTGGCATGAAGGCAGCTCCCTTTTTTCGGTGCCTAAATCGAGCTTTATTTATTTAATGAATAAATAGCGAGGATCTTCATGAAAATAATGACGGTGATTCCCTGGAAAGGGCTCACTACCATCATCGGGTAGTTGTCAAAGGGAAAAGAAGCCTGAAAGGGACATTTGGCTCCACAAAGTCCCTAGATGAAAAAAAAGCTGGGCAAAAGTAGCTGGGATGGGTTGTGTAAAAAAAGCGACTGCCGGGTTCAGCACACTGAAAAACAGCCAAATTCGCTTTGCTCTCTTGGTACAGCAGGAAAGAATATCCGTATAAATATGCCGTCTAGAGTGACGACCAAATATATGGTCTTTAGTGACGCGAACTGAATTGTGCCTTAAGAACTATTGTCCACTTCTTGATATTGATATGGACAGCAGTGAGCGGTAAGGACACTTTGCATGTGGCCAGTTAACGGTGAAACTGTGCATTTTAATGCAAACTTGTAAATATCAAGCAGTGGAAATGACAAAAGCAAACGTTTAAGCGGGTTTTGGCCCTATAGGGCAATTCTTTAAGAGGATATCACTTTAAGACCGCTCAAAATCAAAAGGAGTTCTTTTGTTGAAGTTAAAGTTCTTTCCAGTTTGTGATGCTTTTAAAGCTGAATTTTCTTGATGCCTAATCGAATACGGGCATAGGGTGTAAATAGACGCATATTCTACCAAACCAGATGCTAAACACGCTAATAATAAACACTTAAATCATAAATACGCCAGAACGTGAAAGCGATAAGCGCACCGCTTTTACGTAGGAACTTCCAGCTTCTAGATTTATAATGATGGCGGCATCAAGGCCTCCGGTGGAGCAGCAATTTTAAAGTGTTAGGCCTCGTTTGTTTACTTATCACGAGGCATAGCAAAATCAGAACCGGAGACTATAAATAGAGGTTTAGATGCGGTCCCACAAACTAAACAGCATCATCACTCACACCTCAAAACACTAACTGGAGCAAAACATACTGACGCGCAATGGCCCGCATGAAAGCCACTCGTGGAAATTGGGTTTGAAGCCTGAGGAGTTGAAAGCCAGAGTTAACGCGTATTGCTGTGATTTTCTCGTGGTAACGTGGAAAACGGATGCATGCCCAAAATCGCACGTCAATAAGATAGGCGTCAATGATGCCGTACCATACAATTAAATATTGGTGATGATGGCTAGCAATAAGAACCTCACCTTAAGTCGTTTCATTTTACCTGACCACCAGGTGAACTGTCGGGTGACCATAAACGAGGACGAAAATTATTGGCCTCAGCGGCAGAGATCAAACACAACGAACTTCTTACACGTTGGTGAGTAAGCAATTGGCCTCGGTCAAGTGTGGCATGACAAGCGTGCACCACTCCTTGCCTCTCTGATTATCTTCTCGACCGCGCACTACACGAGCGCTCTCTGCAGCAAACACTGCACAAAGTAGGGCAGGGCCGATGGGCTAATGGACGCGGCTAATTAACAACGTCTACATGTCGTGCAGTTTCCACACATAAGACTCGACGGATTTCATGTCTCAAAAATGTCATATTAAGGCGCTCCACACCTGTTTTTTTGGTAAAAAGTTAGCTTACAGGGCTTTAAAGCAGGTACTTTGGAAAAAAATAGACAAATACAACACTTGGAACCACGACGGTTGGTCTAACTTCGCGTGAAATTGAAAAGAAGTTTGAGCAAAGAGTGTAGAACTAATACAACCAAAACTGTATGATTCCGAGGTATGTGCTTGGACGAGGGGACGTGAGGTTGAAAATAACACCACTTTGTTCATTGGCTGAGATCAGTGCAAACTGAATTTTTAATGCGATTGTATTGAAGTGAAATCGTCAAGTGATGGACTTGGCACGTTACTTTGCCTAACATGACTTTTAATTTACCATGCCTCATGCCAGGTAACGGAAGTTAGTTCGAAATTGGAATACGCTTTAAATATGGAATAAGTATAATTAAAATTGTAGGCAGAGTAAGACAGAGCTCTTGCACGCAAGCTTAGCTGCTAAAAACGGATCGGAGGCGCCTGGGAGAGACCACAATGATTTACTAATCACTTTGGCTGTCTGGCTGATGAGCAACACGAAATAACGCCCTCATACCGTTCGGTAATGAGAAGAAACAATGGCCGTGTTGACGAGCCTTTTAACGGCACAAATATGGAAGAAAATTTATACTAAAAATGAAAAAAAAATTAATGCAGAATTTAAGGCTTTATCGCTATATCCTAGGACAGAGGGGGATGTAGACTACATAACTCAGGAGGGGCCTGCAAAAAATTTACTTGATTAAGAAGGCGACGTGTACCTCTGTTGAAATTTGTTAAGACAATGTTTACATAGCGTCGACAACGAATGAAGGAGCGACCGACCGGATGTTTAGTTGTCTGCTGAAGAAAAGGAGGATCTGGGTTCGCTCTCTCAAAGATGAATTTGTTACACACCCGCAAACACGAGAAAGCGAACAAAGTAAGGAAACACTCAAGTGTATGCTCGTGAGATGTTGACTAAGTCGCATTATTTACTACTTGGTCAATTAAAACTATCAAAGAAGACGAGTCGAAAACAAAGCTGACCACTTGCAGTGGAGCGGATTCAGGATACAGGTTAAATCAAAGGGTCAAGCACCCGTACATGTACTATGGCCACTTCAAATCCATGCACTGTGTACGGTAGAACTGATTGAGCGCCACATTGGGAATCGACGACTTACCCTTGAGACTCATGCCCACCTCCAGACACTTCTTGTACCGGCACTGTTGGCAGCGTCCGCGGCTGGTCTTGGCGATCACACATTTGCCGCCCGACGGACAGGTTGTGGTGGCTCTCCCGTTGGCGAGGGAATGGCGCATGAAGAACTTCTGTAAGGGAGAAATAATTATCTTACACAGCAGTCTAGATTTCCCAAAATCTACAAAACTGCCAATTTAAATCATCTCCATAACCATGAAAACCACGAATAACCGTAATTTTTCTTTCCAAGATTGACATCACACACCAATAGTATTACCATCAAGTTTTGCAAGTGCCCATGGCTTAGGACAAAGGCTAGCGTCCTAAAATCGGTTGTCATCAGTGGTATCAAATCAAGATTCAGTGCTCGCCTGACAGTTGTTGACTTATTTGTGAATACAACTACCTCTTTTTGCACTGCATTATCAGAAGCGGATGAATTAGGCATCAGGATAAGCAGTAATAATTACAAGTCATTGATAAAAATGAAACACACGTCAGTTTAAGGCAAATTAAATTCCTGGAAAGGACAAAATCAGAGGCGACCCCCTAGATACGACGGTGCTTTGCATTTGGGGATTTTAATAATGAAAAAAGTTACCCACAAAGAACGCGATGGAGTTTATAGCACGGGCTAATTGATAACTCCAATTGTTCACAAGCCGTTTGGCACCTCTTCCTTCATTAACACACGTTCTACGATTCTTCCACACGTTTACATGAAGTTGGTTGACCCCCCAACCATTAATTCAATAGCCTGCTAAAACGACGTTAGGAGCATAAGGATTACCGAATGCGGCGTATGTAGCTAGTAGAACAATTAGATCACGAAGAGATTAAACGCAATTAATCACACAACAACGCAAACCAAATTTGTTGTGAGTTAATAGGAATAGGACAAAGCTTTTAATAACTATGCACATGTGTAGACACAAGAGTCAAAAAATCAAACACGGAATCGCATGGCCGCTACTTCACGATGAAAACATGGATTGAGCCAAAAAAGATTTCATTGGCAAAAACCGTATGCGGTATGCGGTTGGTGGAGCATGACATACACTACAGCACCAATCTCTAAGACGAGGAATTCACGTTTGTCGCGTCACCAACGTCAGCATCCAGTGAGCGCCACGAGACACACTGTTTCATCGTCCAACGAGTCGGTTCCACGACACAACAGGGAAACAAGAAGCCAAAAATGATTGGTTACATTTGTACACCATCTGATCCAATCGATTTCGTAGGCATTACACTGCATGCGGCAGAGATGTTTCAGGATGCACTTTAAACTAAAATGGTCACTGCGATGGATAAAACCTTGACTCCGTCACAAAATTTCAATGTGTTGCAATCTATTTTCTCCTCAGCTTACTCTAATCTAAATACACATTTGCAAGATATCATTAAAGTGAAAAAAACCGAGACTATTGCACCGTACCATTAGACTCTTTTCGCTCAGCTAACGCAATTCGATTCTCGTGTGTTTGCGTACTGTTAGAGCCATTCTATGCTTAATGCAATCGCGCGTCCACGGAGATCACCTCGGACGCCACGTCAATCGAAAGCACAACAATGCACGTTGTCTTAAATACAACTAAACAAAAGTATTGTACTAGACTTGGGTGCAAATAAAACTGACGTTGATCTATAGCTGGAGGCGTTTGAGAGTGTTTAAAGCTGTTGTGCACGCATAAGGAACTCCCCAGGTAGGCTCATTGAACTTAATGAAGTACTTAGAGAAAAGTTTGCTTATACCGTATGAATACAAAGTCAGGTGCTTTCCGAGCCGAAGGTAATGTGGCTGTTTATAAACAGACGCATTCACGCATCAGTTTGTTCGTCCGAATGCACGCATACACACAAACACACACACGAAGGCGTCTAGACCTGTGCATACTAAGTGTTGGCAACATGACGGATACGTCGAACCTCGTGCGCATGAGGAAGGGGGAAGGGGGGAGGGGAAGATGTGTCTTCCGACGGCAATCAACGAGGTCAGTTGTCTGACAGGTCAGACATGACAATATGCGCCGCGCCTGGTGTCTACATGCTCGTCTAAGGCCACATTTAATTAGCGACAGCAGTTTCGGGATAAATCGCCTTCTGTGTTAGGAAAGATGTTCAGCCGATACTTAAAGTACAGGACGAAAGGGGATCTGCGACGAGAAATCATCTTAGGACGACAGAGCGACAGGTACACGCAAAAACAGGGACTGCTGTTTCCGTGGTAAACTCAAGAACCTTACCCAAGCTATAAATTACCTCTCGAAATGAACCCCTGCTCAAGATGTACAAAGGCATTTCAATGAAGACTTGTAGAATTTCGTGGATTAGCCACGACGGTGGAGACGTCTGCGTTTAAAGATATTTCGCGAAACAAACATTCGAAAGAAGCCATGGGATAAAACTTTCAACAAAACCATGGTAGTTGTTGTGATTTAGGCCAAAGTTGGAAGTTCTTTAAAAAAATAATTTATACAAAATAGAATGCATATTCTGGTTGTGTGTGTGCTGTGCATTAAAATCCATGTTACACATGTGGTGTGTGAATGGAAATCCCTTGACACACAACCCCAAATCCGAATAAACTGCACGCTTTGCAGTGGGAACACAGTATCAACCAAGCAAAAGACAACTCTGAAACCCGCTTGCGTAGCTCCACCAATATGGGTGAGATGACGAGGACACGCTCAAGCTCAATTACAATGGGGGATACACACTTGGACCCTCGAATAAGGCTTCGTTGACGAGCTCATGGCCATGAAAGTCCATCCTGGCAGATTTGCCGGCCAAAGTATCGGGATACTATCACGTAGATGAAATGTGTGTGTCACTAGAAAGGTATCATGTTGGTGGCATGTCTAACAGAAGTGCACTAGCTACCTTTTGAACCTTGTGAAAAAAGGACGCGATAATTTCTTGGTAAAGAATTTGCATCACCAAGCGTCTCCTTCCAGGAAATCGCAAGGTACCATCCAACTCAAAATGCTTAAGGGCTGTCCGATGTGGTGAGCGTTAGCACTGAATCCGCTTTGATTGAAGGGGATCAGCAACGTTGGTAAACGCGACACCCTTGTCCGAATTCTGAAACAACGTGACTGGGACTGGAGCAAGCCAGAGACGTGTTTCTTCCCCCAGCCAAGGACTGCCGTCTGGGTTCGTACGTGTTGAACGTCAAGACGTTGGAGGCATGACGACAAAAAAATACAAGCACACAGTACACACAGGACGGTGACTAATCGTTGCGCGTGCAAGTGCGCGCCTGACTTGGGGCAGGTGCCGGTTCGCACTTATTGTGATGACGCCAATTGTATTTTAGCAATCGACAGTTATCATTAATAATAGTTCGAATTTTAAACGAGAAGAATGCAGAACGGCCATTAATTATAAACTCCGAGGCAGAGGGCTTGTGGTCACAATCGTAGCTACTACCAGTTCACCTGTTAGGCAGGCTTACGTCAGTAAGTAGAAACGCCTTGTGACCACTAGCTGGTCGGCCTGGTGCTGACGGTTCTTCCCAGGGCACGTTATTACTCCGTTCATTTAAAATTTGGACACAAGGAAAGACACATAGCAAATTAAACGAAGAGACAGTCGGTGCCCCAGGCGAACAGACTAACGGCAATAGATTAATCAACAATATCAAGTTATAAGTACACCAAGGAAATCAGTAAAGTGTGCACAAATAAAATACACTGAACATTACTACTTTGTACTGTGCATTCCTTAAAACCTGGTTTTGCGAAGACGGCGTTAAAAGCGCTTCGTTGGTATTAATAATCTGATTACTTAACACGGTTCCACACAAAGTAGGCATCCATAAATTTGCGAGCTGCGGAACATTAAAACGCCTCAGAAATTTGACTAGGCTGGCCACAAAGCAAAAGTAGCTACGTTAAAATTACAAAATTTTAATCAGCAAGAATAAGTCGACTAGCGGTTGAGTGCAGGTAACATTACACGCGCATAATCTTCGAACAAATCAGTAACAATATTCTCAAGTAAGATATTCGGTATTTGTACCAACGCGTTTGAGTTAGACTTTTGAGCTCCCATACCTAAAATTATGTGTACTCCCCGAATGCACCGGTTTCCTAAATCATAATGTGGCACTTACCTAAAGTGAAAAGCAGCAAAAAAGTACGATCGTTTCACGAATACTAACAGACTAATATAGCACCCACATATAGTGCTTTATCCAGTTAAAAGAAAAACCTTGATTACCAGATTTTCTCTTCTCTCGGTCTTAGGAATAAGTGCACAAGGCACTTCCATTCCAAAATTAAAGAATAAAATGTCTTGACACGTTTTGCATCCAACCCAATTATCTTCAGCTGGACGTCCGATACGGCACCCCAACATGGTTAATTGTATTTTGTGATTCCCCATGGTAACACCTTTCTCGTGAAGATGCAAGCCAGAGTTAATTTTGGCACAATATATGACTGATTTCGAAAGGTAACCACTGAAGCTGTTTTTTAGTGAGATCAAAAGAAGTAATTTAAACCAGTAAACCACATAAAGCTGCGGATTCGCACTGGTGAGGGGTTTTAACATCGGACAAAGGTTTCAAAAACTGCAGTCAGCACTGCAATCTTAGAATGAAATAGAACAGGGGAACTTATTTCAAACCTAACTTATTCCTTACTGTTTGATACAATGCTTTAAACGTTCTCCAATGGTAATATATCCAACATAACTTACTTTGCATGCCTCACAAACATAAGCACCATGATGGAAACCAGCTGCAAGTTCCCCACAAATTTGACAGAGTTGTCCCTCCATTCGATTTTGATATTGGTAAAAAGCTGATTCTGGACTCGTAAAACCCGGCAAACTGACACCACCCGTTGCTTTATCGGCTTTCGGGCTCTCTGGCATTGCCGATTGGGGTGTGTGTGGTGTTTGAGTTCGAGGAAGAAGCGAGTTAAATGACGCTGGTTGAGGGGAATAGTAACCCGAACCGGTGTCAACAGGAAAATAACCATTTTCCCCATTAGTTTCAGTAATGTTAGAGTTGGAGCCAACAGCCATTTGAGATGAAGATTTATGGAAAAACTGCGGATTCTCTGTCACTGCTGTTCCCAGCAGTGCGTAAGTCGGATGGAGGGAGGAATCAGGTTCGTCAACTCCGCGGTTCAAACACCCTAAGCCAGGTGTCGACCAGTGGGAACTTGCGGAGGTAAAGGTGTCGTCTGTGACTGTATTAGTAAATTGATTGATATTAAGGTTTTGGTGAGAGGAAGACGATGTTGACGTTGGCGAATGTGTCATCCTACCTCCAGTTACTGACTGCCGTGGGAAGATTTGGAAGTCGGAGAATTCTGGAGCAAGCCACGACTATTCGCATGGTTCACAGTGATGCATCATTAGTAATATCAGTAAGAGTCTATTTAGATAAATTTTCCTATAAACAAAAAAAGTGAACCAAGTGACCGAAAAGTTTCTACTGCTGTAACATGCTGAAACCATAATTGTTCTACTTTACCAGATAGCAATACCCACCATGTCTAGTGCACGCAACAACAAATCAGCTCATTTTACTAATACTCTATGTAAAATAGAACACACTCTGCAACTACAAAAGTGTTTAATTTTCTAAATGACTAATACAGCATTATCAAAATTAGAGTCAAGTACGAAAAAATGCAGTTAGTAAGATTAGCACCAGGTATTATCTCGACTCGTAAATTTAAAGAAAAAATAAATATGCTCAACCTTGAGTAAAAAACAAACAAGTGATGTACTGATTGATTTTTCAAAATTGTAGGCACATTATGCAGAACCTACAAAACACTTCATCAACTATGCTATGTCTAACATCGTCGTCAAGTGGATGTATTCTGATACCGCGACTGACAAGAAAGGAACGATCCCAAAATTAGATATCATGATGGCACAAAACTGAAAAACATGTCTAGAGTGACTAAGATAAGGTAGTTTTCTTCGAAACGGGAAGCAGTGGAAACTGAACGCATCAGAATGATTATAAGAAATCGACAGAAAACAGGTTTCACTGAAGTTATGAGATTCAATGTAGTAGCTAATAAAAAAGCAATTAAAATTAGAAGAGATTATGAGAATATACAACAATCATCAAAGGAAATTGAGTACACCCACCGGTTTCCATTCAAAACAAATTTTCAAAACGAGATGTGAAAAAGGGATGGGAAAGATTCTAGGTATCAAACGAGTGATTTGAAATCAGCATAAATATTGTCCATATAAGAGGTTCCATATTCAAAAGATACGTAAAGTGTCAGTAAATAATGATTGGAGAAAAAAATTGGACGATAAATTAATACAAACCAAAGATTAAAGGTAAAGAAAAGATAAGCTTCATCTTGTATAATTTGTGGAAATAAAGAAGAAATAAAGCTCACTGAAATCTAAACAAAATTTCGTAAGATTTTTAACTATCGGCAGAGCAAGGACGGACTTCCTCAAATAGAAACGCCGATAAAAGCCGACTCATAAAGCCGCATGCATCGGTATAATACAGAATTAGCGAAGTTAAACAACATATGCTTGAAAATATTTTAATTTTTTTTAGAAATGTTTTACATATTAATCTAAAAAAAGCATATATTTTAAGCCTTTAAACACTAAGCAAAGTCTTTACGTAATTTATACGGATTTTTTGGACACAATGTATAAACATTTATCACTTTAATGTTCATGTGCTTGCATTTTAATTTCAATTGCGTTCAAGTCAGATAGTGTGCCTGTTCAAAAGTGCATTGATCGGAATTGTCACTAAACAGAACTAATTGTGTATTATTAAGATTTGGAAAATAAGTTTGCTAGAAAACACGTTTCCTTCAAATTTAATGGAACTGGTAAGATCTAATTTGTTAGCTAATGTTGACGCCAGTGGAAATTTAAATCGAGTTTAAACAATGTCTGGGGACACTGTCTAGAATGTCATTGCTGGGACAAAAAAGGGCTTGAATGAGCTGCGTCCACCTTAGTTAGTCAAATACCAACATGAAAAATTATACCCTTTTGTTTCTGTGATTATGGCTACAAGCAAAAGAAAATGTATAGCTTGTTAGTGTCAGAATTTGCGTCTTATTTGTCATGCTGTGACCGATAAGCATAGCTTTGTGTAATGGAAATTATTTAGCCGATGCATTGGTATATGTATTGAACTCGGTGAGGATTCCGTGATCGAAAAGATCGGGGACCTCTACACGTTTTCGATCATCAAATATCTATCTGTAACAAAACGAAATTCGCAATGACAGCATCTTTTTTGCTGGTCGGCCTACTGCTAACGGCGACCGTGACTTAGCAAATTATGTTGATCTGGATATCAGCTAAGGCAAATTGTTCCTCTGTTCCTCGGAAAGACCTACTTTATTACATTAGTTTATTTGTGTCCTAATATGTCGTGGCTAACTGAGAGTACAAGGTCAATGTATTTCCCCAGCCCTGATTATTCCTGTGAAAATTTCTCTTTCAACTCAACGAACATACTTATGCTTTCTGCACTACAATTTATTAAGATGAAAAAAACTGGAAATAGTTACCTAAATTTCATAATGGAGTACACTTTTTTTGCCCAATAAGTGGAACGATCAACTATAATAAATAATTAGACTTTTCAGAATGAACACTTAAAACAGGCGATGCGTAACGTCTAGCATAAGGTAGTGGTTGCTCATGAGATTTCCAAGTACATTAAAGTTATCTATTTGGTAGTAACAGATATGTATGTAACCCATGCGTTTATGTGCCTTTTATCAATTTCGGAGAATTTATCGGAGTTTATTGGCCATTTTGTGATAGCAGCTGTAGGTTGATTTTTTGTCAACTTGTGCTTAGATATTTTACAACTTGATTTAATCCTATCATGCATTTGTTAATATATTTTTGACACCACTCAACATTGAAACCATCGACCCACTCACCAAATCGTTTGTTGTACAATTCCACAAAACTTTAAATTCAATCGTGTTGCAAGCTATTGCAGTCCCTTAAGTCTTTATCTATTAAAAAAGTGTTTAATCAATCTTTTGGCATGCCTACCTGTGAATGCGGCCTCAAGTAGCTCAAAATGCCATTTACTAATGGCTAGTCATGACAACCGATTTTGACAACAGTTTCAGTACGAAAAATTCTCCGATTAAACTGCTTCCAAGTCACTCTTGCTTCGTACTAGTCTTTGGCCTTTTAATTGGGAAGACTGATAACCATTTGTCGGTGTGTTACATTCCAGAGGTGGATTTTGCACAAATTCAGCTTAGATGCACCTCAATTATTATCAGCTCAATTTCATTTACACGTGATAACACGTATTGTGCAGCGCGTGATTTCCTGTGCTTCGTCACATGCATCACGACCAACTGCCTTGAAAGATTTTCTTCAGCTGGTGTTGCAATTAACTTTTTATTTTATTGCAATATCTCAATGCCACTCGAATATTTTAATACAACTACTTTAGTCCGTGATCTAAATGTTTACAATTTGTGTACTTTGAGTCTTCTGTAGCCAAAGTAAGGCGCACAAAATATACTTTGATTCTTTGGCACAGAATTCTCAAAATCATGTTGTTTATATTTGCCATTACCATGGTTAACACCTGATGCTTGTACATTGCCGCCAAATTCTGTGACTTACGATGATCTTGTCAAGAATGAGACCTTCTGGCCAGGTGGGTAGTAAAACAACCCCAGAAAACTTTCAGAAGTGGAAAGAACTACCAAAATTAGAGGAGTTTCTTCGTGCTAGAGATTTTACGGGGGCGATTACGTTGCTGGAGTTCCAAAAGCATGACAGTGAACCACATCAAGATATTGACTTGTGGATTGCGTATTGTGCTTTTCACCGAGGCGACTATAAACGTGCGGCCGATGAGTATAAAAAACTTTCCTTGGATAGTAAGCTGGCTCCAGTGGTCCGCACTTACCTTGCTTGCTGCTATTTTTTTATGGGAATGTACAAAAATGCTCAAGCTGAAGCCAAGGAAGCATCGCAAAGCCGCCTGCAAAATCGCCTTCTTTTTCACATTGCACATAAACTAAATGATGAAAGAGATCTACTTACGTATCACAACGGCCTTTGCGACGTTTTGGAAGATCAGCTGTCTCTCGCTTCTATTCACTGTTTACGTAATCACCACCAAGAGGCAATTGATATTTACAAAAGGATAATGATGGAGAACAGGGACTATTTGGCTCTTAATGTGTATCTTTGTTTATGTTATTATAAAATTGATTATTATGACGTTGCGAACGAGGTCCTCGAGATGTACTTACAACATTACCCTGATAGCGCAACAGCAGTGAATTTACGTGCCTGTATCAATTATCGCTTATATAACGGAAAAATAGCGGCAGCTGAGTTGAAAAGCCTTCAGGAATCAGCTTCACCGAGTTTCGACTACGCAACGGATTTGATTAACCATAACCTCGTGGTTTTTAAAAATGGCGAAGGAGCTCTTCGGGTTGGTTGTCCTATTTTTAATTTTTCACTAATAACTTGAATGTGTTTAATTCTTGTCTATTTCCCATTTCAGACTCTACCTAAATTAATTGACGTACTCCCAGAGGCTCGATTGAACCTTGTCATTTACCACCTCCGTCGGGAAGACATTGAGTCAGCCTATGAGTTGGTAAAAGATATTGATCCAAGTACGCCCCAGGAGTACGTTTTGAAAGCCATCGTGAACGCTGTTATCGGTCAAGAGACAGCTTCGCGAGAACATCTCAAGATCGCACAACAGCACTTCCAGTTAGTGGGCGGATCAGCTAGTGAATGTGACACCATTTCTGGGCGGCAGTGCATGGCGTCTTGCTTCTTCCTTCTTCACCAATTCGATGATGTCATTATCTACCTTAATTCCATTCAATCATACTTTTATAACGACGATACGTTCAACTTCAACTTTGGTCAGGCGAAGGCAGCTGTGGGGGCTTTCAAAGAGGCACAAGAGCTATTTCACCTTGTTCAATCAGACAAAATACGAAATGATTATGTTTACCTGAGCTGGCTTGCGCGCTGTTACATTATGACTAAGAAACCTCGATCAGCGTGGGAATTATACCTCAAGATGGAGACATCAGCTGAATCCTTTAGCCTGCTGCAATTGATAGCTAATGACTGCTATAGGATGGCACAGTTCTACTACGCTGCGAAGGCATTCGATGTTCTAGAGCGTTTAGATCCTAATCCCGAATATTGGGAGGGGAAGAGGGGCGCATGTGTGGGTGTTTTCCAACTAATCATTGATGGACAGGAGCCTAAGGACACATTGCGAGAGATCTTACAGATACTCCGAAACACAAATAACTCCCAAACGGAATATTTTATCCGAATCATAAAGAAGTGGGCCAAGGAACATTCTGTCACCGTATAAATACTTAATTTATGAGCACTCCTTTTTGGAAAGCCACACTTTTACTACCACTGTTTACTTTTCTAGCCCAGATCTACTTCAGAAAGTGACCGAACGGCGAAATCCCCAGGTCATGTGGACCCTTATGTGTGCCTGCATCTCAATTTATAAGCTATACTTTGTGGTGTAATTTTGCTCACATAAAGCGGTGTTACAAAACACCAAAAAGGATCACGTATTGCATTGCAATCACAAAGAACGACACGTAGTTTTGTTCAAGAAACTACTGTGACGTACTTTGTAAAGAACCAAAACGTTTTAAGTATCCCAAAACTAAGACGAACAAGGAAGTTAGTGGAAGAATAAAACACTTTCTTCAGCAGGTTGGAGGTTCATGTATGTACATAGTAAATGGAACGTAAGAGAGGTGCATGATCATGGCTTTTCCGATTCCTGCTCCATTTTGGAGCTTATTTCATCCAGTCTGCAAATGTCTTTCAGAGGGAACTTGCCGGAACCCCGTGGTAACGGTCGTGCCTAAAATTAAATTAAAGTTACCCTGTATTCATAATCGGATTACGTACTGTCCATATAGTTCTCTATCCAAAAAGACTACATGGAGTTGGGAGTTTTGGATGTTGGGCCATTCGTTATATAATTCGAATCCGCACGGGTATGGCCCACGTTTGGGTTAGTTCACGGTAAACTGGGAGGACACTTGTTCAAAATACCCGAAGGTTATGGGAATTAATTCTACGCATGATTCGGCAACCACAGGCGCTACTATTCTCTCCCGCAATTTTTAAATCCACACAATCATAATTTGACTTAGACGTAGCAAATAGATTAACGAATTGCTAAAGCCAAGCATGCCAGCGACATAAGAACCAAAAAAATATTTTGCTGCGAAAGTCTTGAAAGCAGACTGTATTGTGGTTGATGGTCTTAAATAAATCAAAGCACTGAATAAACATGTGAAACGTAATAAGACTAGTTGACAAATAATATAGATATAAATTATGAGTTTATCTCAAATCGTTCCAGCTTTGAAAATTGGTCAAAAAGCATTTTAACTGAGGAAAAAATAATAAATCTAAATTTTCATGATACATTAATGACGAAAAGCTTTTCCTTAATTACTGATCCATAGCACCACTATCTTGTATGAATTAAAGATCATTAAGAATAACATGAACGCGAAACGATGTTGGAAAAACGTCAGGATAGTTTCTAACAAGCCACGATTTTAAGTTAGTACACTGTTTAGATCTTCTGCAATCACAAACGTTTAGAAAAGTTGTACATGAACTCAGATAGCGTCTTGTCATGTGAAATTGATTCACGAACCTGTGATGGATCGGGTTTCCATGCGATGAAGAAAAGGAGTCTAAAGGTTGCGGGAATACACCGTTCACCGTCCTGACCACCTTCACGAAGTGTGCCAAACCGCTCTAGAAAAAAACGCATTGACGACAAGAGCAGAATGTTTGACGCGAATGTGAAACAGTGTACTTTCGTGTGGGTCAAAAACGTTGCAAAGATTGCAATAGGTGGTTGTGGAAAGGCCCCTTACCACAGACCGGAATATGTGAAGAATTCACACCTTTTGGAGTGGTAGTTTCAAGTTGGCATCACAGGGAGCATTAGACTTAATACCGTGAATTTTCACCCCCATGTGTAAACACTATCATCAGGGTAACCTGCGAAATTGCTGTTACTTCACATACATTTCAATTGCCGTAAAGGGATAATGTACGGCGTAAAAAATAAAAAGCCAGCGTGAATTAAGCCGGGCATTTCTTGAATATATCCGCAAAATATACAGGACAAATTTTCCTTGAAGCCAATTAGACAAAACTGAGACATTAACAATAAAACACAAAAAGCTTTTGACCAAATCACAGTCAGATGAAGAACAGCGTAGGCTATGTCCCAGGAATTCAGTTGCACATGTGCTGAAGCCCCGGGCACCAATTAATCGCTTGAATGGTCGACGTGATCAGCGACCGCACTCAAAGCGACGCCTATCAGCCGCCATGACTGCAAACCGTACGATATTGTGTGGTGACATGTGAACCGCACCATTCTCGAAAGGCGGACAATTTGTATTCAGTTATGGGTGGCTTCAAGCTCCACTCAGTTATACACGCCAAACACATAAAGTGTCAAGATTCAAAGCACGAAATCCCCCGTACCATATTTAAAGAAAGTAAAACGAGTTATAAAAGCCACAAATGTACTAAATATATGCAGAAAAGCAAACTAACCATCATAAATTGAAGAGGCTGCGAAAAGCACATCCCTGTTGAGGCGAAGAGGTCGACTTATTGCAGCATTTGATTCCCCCATTCCTCGAAGATCATCCATTAATTCAAACATTGACGGGTAGTGAACCACAAACTCGTCCACATCCTACATTCAGCGATCAAGTTATTCAAAACGCCGACGTGATGCAGGCACTCGGCCACAATGCAATAGGAGTGAAGAGTTTTATAGCGGAAGCAAGCCACACTTGACACTGACATTCACAAGACGTGATTCCTTAAAGTTACAATTGTGAAATGAAGACTACTTTTCCCCTTAAACAAACGTTCCATGTTAAACGAATACCTAAAAGCTCTCAAAAAGGTTCAGCAAGCGCTTGGCATGCTCTCGACTGGCAAATTAACTAACACAAAGGAGTTCGACCATCAATTAAATGCTTTGAACGAACCCAAAGTGCAAAAAATTGTTACTATGACCACCGGGTGACATGTATTTGGCGCGATCTACAGCAACAAAACCAAACATGGCAGTTGACGCAACTGTTTTGCATTCCTGCAGACCAAACCGAACTTGTGATGCAAGTAAACTTAAGAATAAAGTAAAATAACATTATTATCTATATGGCATGCGATTATCAAGATATTTACCAAGGAAATAAGGGAAAACCCCTGTTCTTTAAGGAGTTCACCAAAGCGAGAACTTTCAACAAAGGGGCTAACATGACAAGCGAAACCACCAAGACGTTCTGCTTCTGCTAACTGGAGAGACACACGCAGCTCAAAAAGTGTGTCCACGGTAAACGTTACTCCAAGGAGACAACCGTCAGGTTTGAGGCTTCGTAAAACCTATATGTGTTGCTTTAGAAACCACATGTACTTGAGATAACGTTGCAGGTAAGTCATTCACCCAATGCAGACTAAAATTAGAGGCAGGAATAATTAATGATTTTCAAGGCACAAAGTAAACTTCGAAAAGAAAACTCACGATAGAGAGGTAATAATCATGTCCAGTGAATTATCTTTAAACGGCAGGCGTTCTTCATCAATATTCAGAAGAGAGTTTATAACATCAGGGGATGGACGTTGTTGATTCTACAACGAGAAGGCATATTTACATATGGATCAGCAACAGCTGACAACAATTGCATTAAACTCACAAGAATTTCAATTGAGTTATCACATTGATATACAAATTTAACAGAATCACTAGTGAGGTGTTGAATTAGATGACTTCTACCGCAACCTAAATCAGCAACAGTGTCGAAGGTCCTAAAATAAACAATAATACATCAAGATTTAAAAATGAAAAGAAATAATCCATTACATGGGGGCACCATATACACAGTCAACTGCAGTCTATCTACGACAGAAAAACCTCTCCGCCACGTCTGGATGAAGGGTAATGATGAAACCGGTGATTTAAATAGTGAAACCAGTTTGGAAGCTACTGATAGAATGAAAGATATGTCGAGTTTTCAATTTTCGTACCTAGATGAGTAAATACAGAGGCCATTTTAGTCGATGACTAAAACGTATCAGATATCATCCTGTTATGCAGTGCAGAACAAATGATACTAGCTGTTTTAATTGAAATAGAACGAAGTTCGTGTCTTAAAGGGGTTCCGTAACCAAAATAAACTTGCAGGTTCCAGATAAATAGACAAAAATTTAAAATTCAATTAGCATAATTCTAAAATAATTAAACTAATTAGAGATTCCAATGATCACACGAGGGCAAATAGGCAACCGATTAAAAGGAACTGATGAATATCGGATATCAATCCGGTTATTAATTATATTTCTTGGGGCTAGTGAAGATTAAAAGGTGCAATCAAGCTAAAGTAGGAACAAACTCTTGCCAAAATCCAATTAAAAGGAATTTAAAAAGGTCAGGACGCTCACCTTGTTATATCACAAACGCGATCAGCGAGACGAAAAGCTGCCTCATCACGTATATAATCATACAGTGAGGGATCGTCACGAAGTGATGCTCTCGCACGCTGTAATTTTTTTGCTTTACGGTCAAAAACACGCGATAAGGTCGAGAAACAAATAACCCGGTAACCAGTCGTTGCATACTTAGCAATGCGTAACATGGTTCCAAATAATTACGATGCAGCTAGAGCGCAGTTCTGCCGTCAGAGATACCAATCTGAAATGAGCGCCGAAAGTACACATGTGTGTCGTCGGATTAAGGCGCAGACATTTTGGACCAAGCTGGCTTCAGCCAATCCTGTGTCTCTCTGCGTTCCAATGGCATGCGAGGAAGATAAGCAGCTAACCGGAGGAGAGCGCGACTGAGGTGCAGTATATAATGAGCGGCGTGGCCAGCGTGGCGGATTCGGATGGAAGATGCCTGATGTCTGGCTCTGGCTTGTGATTGGCCAGTAAAGCCTGTTCTGTTGTACCGGTCTTTCTCCTATTAGGGCTTGGGTATTCTACACATGTGTAGCGACGTTCTTTCGGCGCAGACATATTAGACCACGCTGGCCTCATCCAATCCCCTGTCTGTCTGCGATCCAATTGTATGCTAGGAAGATAGGTAGCCAACCAGACACAGGCACAAATCTGGAGCCAAATATAATTCGCCTAGCCCGTCCCTCTTTGATAGCCACATCATCATCGTTAGCTACCAGACATACGACAGAAGAATAACTAGAAAAATCGGATGTATTAAATACTACCGCGCACAAATTCAAAGGGTTAGAGCAAATGGAAAGTTAGAAAGTGGAAAGGGATGGCTGTGGAAAGAATCGGCATTGTCCTCACTCGCCTTGAGGAAAGCGAGAGTGCGGGAGGGAAGAGGAGGACAAAGAACAAGCCAGACCGTCGAGCATGGGTCGAATGGCCCGCGTTACAGTGGTCTCGGATGGAGGGCGCCTGACATGTGCTTCTGGCTTGTGAATGGTCAATATAGCCTGAGCAGTTATATCAGTCTAATTCTTACTTGGGATCGGGTATTCTACATTGGTGGCAGCGGATGCGTTTTAATAATGCGAATCGAACCCTAGCTCTTTTCCTAACATGGTCAACAGAGGCAAAGACCCTTATATGCCAGCAGAAATTGTCAATGGGCCATCCAATGTCCCAAACAATGGATCCATAGACATGGTCCGGGATTAGGACTACTGAATCTAAAGAGGCATTAGCACATCAGCAATGACGACATGGACAGTATAAGCCAGATGGACTGCAAGTGGAGAAGGAACCTGCGATAGATGAAGTGGCCTTCCTGAAAGTCTACAAGAGCACAGTCCCGCGTCTACTATACGCTTGGGCCTCTAACGTGCCAGATGTGAGGTATCGGTGTGTGTCAAACTGGATATTTTGTGAATCATCAACAGTGCGGGAAACCAAGCTAAATGCTGAGGGCAGCTTCATTCCTGAGGAGGAGGCAGTGTAGTGACGTATAAGGGCACAGACATATTGGACCACGCTAGCCTCAGCCAATTCTCTGTCTCTCTGCATTCTAATGGCATGCGAGGAAGGCAAGCAGCCAACGAGAGAAAGACAAGAAAGAGGAGCAGTATATAATGGGCGGCGCAGTCAGCTTTGTGGACTCGGATGGAGGGCGCCTGACATGTGGTTCTGGCATGTAATGGGTCAATATATCCTGCTCTGTTGTACCAGCCTTCTTCAGCCTCATCCCTAGTGAGGCCAGCCACAATTGGGCTCGTGTATTCTACACATATTTCTGCATAATAATAGCTAAAAGCCATTAAAAATGGAACTGGTGTGAGTTGTCGCTGGGTAGGATTTTTCGAGTGCTCCTAAGTGCTATTATAATCGGTATAGTAGACTCGTTGTTCACTTTGCACCGTCACTTTTTAAAATCAATCAATATTCCACAATACATTAATACAAAATGCCTTTTGCTAAAGTGTTCAATAAAAATATATTTTACGTTAATTGCAGTAACATAAGGTCATATTAAACTAAAAAATCATTGTGAAGGGGCAACTATTATTGTTAAGGTCCCAATAATTAGAAAAACAAGTATTTCACCACGTTCAATTCTAAGTAATCTGTTTGTCAACGTGTCGCAATTAATAAATTTGCATTAAAACGTCTCTATGTGAGCAGCATATTAGTAAATGTGCTTGTAACATTGCTACAAATGTAAAAAATGGTGATAGACACTGCAGGATACTATGCACAGATTAAATTAAGCCTGTCTATGGTCAAACTATTGTGATTCCTTACGAAAAAATGTAAATGTAGCTGTCTTTTGTAAATGAAATTAAAAGGCTGAAATTACTATTTTTTCGCCTTCGAAGTAAATGTTACCATAGGACAGCTTCCCGCATTAATACGATGGTGTCGATCTGCGGAAGCAATTAAAAAAGTAAGTGCTGAAAAAATGATAAATTAAACTATCTAACTTGATATACTTGACTTGGGATTAAAAGTATTATGAATTGCAAGTTTTATTGTTTTCTTTTCGAAAAGAAACCTCATGCGGTTACGTGTTACTTCTAATTTTACTAGCATGAAAAAGACCGGTATTACAGAATAGGCTTTATGAGCTAATCACGTGCCGGAACCTTTCGTCAGGCGTTCATCTGTACCCTCAACGCTGGCTGCGCTGCTCATCTAAACCTGCTTCTTATACCCATCCGTCTCTGGTTGGCTGCTTTTCTTCCTCGTTGGCCATTCGAAAGCATAGAGACAGAGGATTGGCTGAGGACAGTATTGTTAAAATGTCTGTGCCTATTACGTCACTGCAGTATTTCTGTTAGTGTGGTCGCTCTACACTAGAGATGGGGTCTGTGCGGAAGTCTTCTCGGAATCGGACTAGAGTTAGTTATTCTAATTTTCTGACAATGGACGATTGTGGGGATGATTTCGTGGAGGATTTCTTCGCCGATGCTTCGGACAATACTAAATCGAAACGGAAGAATCCATCCACGAATCTCGATAAGGACCTCGGTGACCTTGCTTACGATTGTTCATCAAAAAGAGTTAAAGCAAAAGAAGGGTTTGAATCGGGGGTCACTATTCCCAATCAATGTAAAGTGAAACTCACGTCTAAAGGAAAAGACAAATGCAGGCCCACCGGAGTCAAGAGAGAGTCACCGTCCCAGTCTCCTCTAGTCTCATTGTCTACCGAATCACGATCTCCCCATAAATCACCCGAAAAAGCTTTATCGCCTCCGCCTCTCACAGATTTGCCTGTTCTCTCATCAAGCACGACAACTGCCTCTCCGTCGTTGAAGAAACGTGGGCTCCCGATTTGTGTGACTCCATCAACCGGTCTTCGACTCGGACTTTCTCGCAGAAACATTCGGTCGTCTCTTCATCCGAATGTTAAATTCGCGTGTTAAAAATCTGTCGACCTAGATCAATTCTCTTGGACAAACTTTCAGCTTGTATAAATGTGTAACCGACATACAAAGTCATCTCGTGCTTGTAACTGTTTGTGTGCAGTGTAAATATTTTATCCAACTAAGTATTTTACGTGTTCTTCAAGCTTTTAACGTAGCTCATCTACTTGCTCTGTATTATGGGTTAGCAATTTCGGTGCTTTCCCTTTTTTATTCCGTTGGTATTTATAAGTAGTTAATGTGGGTTTATCCCAGATATTACACCAGCAGGTCCATTAGGTTTGCAGCCAGTTGTCCTATAACTTATTATTCGTTCCCATATCGGTTTGTAGAAAATGCTGCGTCCCCGTAATTCCTAAAATAAGGGGTATCTTAGTTCGCGTATTAAAGCTTTGTCCACCATACTGACTTCGCATTGTGTGGTCGCCGACAGTCATAACACATAACTGGATCTGACTGACTGCCGTCTTTTTCTCAGCACCGCATTGGAAGATCGCCATTATTGGCATTGTTGAGGGGCCGATATTTGCTTCCTTTCGAATTTTATGTGTCATTATAACAGACCTTACACGTGATTCCTCTGACCAAGTCAAATGACCTATCCTTATCTTTGCAACAGCGTGCAAGTTTTGCTAGTATCGCAGTGCAAACGGGAAGACGATGCTCCCGGCGACATAACTGTTCACTCATCAACTAATTACGTTCGTCCTGTTACATCGGTGTGCACGATTACGGAGGGTGGCTGTTTGAAGAAGCCATTTTCGATAAGAACACACACGAATGCAAGTCACCCTATAGGCATGCAGGGGAGTCCAGGCCTGCATGGATGGTTTTTCTCTAGTACTTGCTAGTGTGAAGAAGTGAGCAGGAAGGTACTTGATGCGAAGTTCGCCACCCACTCAGTGGGTAAGAATACCGAGGGATAGAGGCCAACGCACAAATTTTCCTTGATTATCGGAGCGAGAAAAGGCACCACGCGTACCCTATTCCAGCTGGGGTTATATACAGAGCGAAAACCCGAACCCGTCGTCCATTAGTGCCAACATGGTCTCTGATACATTCTAACCCACCTGTGAACAATATCAGATGTGCCAACTAACACTCCGTGTATATGTCCGACACGCACACTCCACGAGATTGGTGAGCAGCGACGTTCGTCACATGGAACAATCCGCTTGAGGAACACGGGACAAAAGTGCTCATTGACTCACTAAACAGAGACATAAAAGTGGTGCCGGCCAAGACTTCCCGATTTAGTCTGGACTACGTAACCGAGTTTGTATTCTCCTATGCTCACAACAGAGAAATCAGTGAGTTGAGATAAAAAATCTAATTTATTTGTCTTTCGGTGGGATTGCTCGGCTCCGGTTTTTGAGCAACCGCCTGAACGAACACTCGCTTTGCTGAAAAATTTATACGCTTGTTCACAGTGTTTTTGTGAATGTAGGAACACTTAATAACGTCGAGACCCGCAGCTTTCAGCATGTTTGCTAACTCAGTAATCGAGAAGAAGTACGCAAAAGTGCCATCCTGTCGTTTGTATAAAGGTTGGTCAGCAACGACGCGGCTTTTGCGGCCGAATCGGATTTGCGCATAATCATGAAGTCCATAATCTCGAAAGAGCAGTTTGCCACCTGGCCTCAACGCACTACAAGGCAAACAGAACTACAGTAAAGTAATAGAACGTCAAAAACGAACTGCGAATTCATACCTGACGACATTCTTGAGGCAGACGGTCATACTTGTAGGATGAATTGCAGAGAGTACGAAAATAAGTGTAACTAGGTGGAAATCTGGAGGTTGATTGTGCGATAGGCTCAGAAGCTTCGGCGTAGTGGCCTCTAAGAGGCCTGCTTGTAGGGCTCCGTCAACAGACAAGTCGCACACAAATGCAGAGGCGAACTTGGGGCTGAAGGCGGGGTTCTTTTTCACCTCCGCTATTGCTTTTGGAGACACGTCACAGGCGTAAAATACAACTACATACGAATTAAGGAATAGGTTCGGTTTAGCCAGTGATAAAGGGTACAAGTATTTAGGAGACAACTTACTTCGCCAAAATCATGCTAAGATTGCTATAATTAAAAGTCTAAAGTAACGTACAGGTGATTTCAAAATCTGAGAAGTTAATCAACACCCATTCTCACTTTGTTTGGTGTGCATCCTAATTGCAACCATTGATGATAGACACGCAATTTAGCGCATCTACTTGGTGAACACAAACAGAGTATCAAGCAGATTATGCTCAAGAAAGTGACTGACTTTCATAAGTGAAACTCAAAAAAGCTTTCTTAACTTGGTTGGACTTTAGTCTGACGATATGCGAACTAGAAGGTTAGACGACCCGACTTTAATTACGAAATAAGGACTACGTTAGATGAAACGCTAAAATGTGCGCAAATTACTCTAGGATATATGAATTTTGGGCGAAAAACAATTACTGAACTAGGCGATGTTGAAGGGTAATCACCTGATTTTCTCGTAGGCGTTTTACACTCTACGGACACACCCGTGGAGTAAAAGTCTTCGATGAGAGGGAAGATAAAATTTCCAACTCCACAGCCAACTTCTAGTATCGTCATCGGTGTATCGTCGTCCTCTGGAAGCTGTGCGAGTTCCGCGAATTCCCTCCTTGTCCAATGCCGATCCTACATAAATACGAATGCAAAAAGAATCACAGTGGTTTATTTGGTTTTGATAAAACGAAAAGAAACCTTGAAAAATTTGGTCCCGTTGCGATTGTAAAATCTATCCCAATTACGTCCGGCTTCTTTCTTTAATTGTTCGTGCTCAAACGAACTACATATTGACTTCATTTGCCTGTCTAGATTGGCCTTGGAATCTTCGGATAGGGGCAGATCTTCGAATACTTCAACTGGTTGCAACAACTTTGTTTCGCCTTCATCTGAAACGGAGTATTACACCAGCCATGCTTCGGAAATAAGAAGAATATAGGCAAGGATAAAAAATGAGCTAACACGACAGAATACTGACGCAGCATTTTAAAGAAGTAGGGACGCAGATCGACTTTACTTATCATCGTTAGGTTGACAAATTGTGAAAATGTGACGAATCAACCCAATGTTACATGATACAACGACGTAAAATTACATAATAAACCGAAAAGAAAAGGCAAAATAAAAAGGGAAAAATAAGGAACTTAACGAGAGGTACTAGAATCTGGAAGATATTTTAAATGATAATATTTATCCAACGAGAACGTATACATAAGCTTGTCCAAAATTTAGTGCATGACAGCGAGGTAGAAAAGAAATTTAAACATTGACTTAAGTGATTTGTGTAGCTGAATTGACAATTCACATGCAAGGGTAGCAGACGCAGTAATTGCCTCAAAGAAAACGTAGCGACGCTGTGTCAAATACCAGACTATGATAACTACTTCCACATTATGACTTTACCAACTGTCACCTTCTGAAAAATCAGACGTACTTCTAATGCGTACCATGCGGATGATAACCAAAGCCTTACCAACAGTTTTGAAATTAGATGGAGTTGACAGTGCTAACTAAATCGATGTAGATCCTGCTTACCGGAGTTAACCAACGGCACCAAATCACAAGAATTCGTTACTTCCGCCTCATCCAAACTACAAAACGAAATCATGATTTCATTACAATAACTGAAAAGGCCGTTTCAATAGGTACATAAAAGTACGACTGCAGCTAGAAGAAAAAGAGCAGGTACCTTGGAGCATCATACTCGGATCCAAGTTCTGCATCAAGGGCAGCATACATTTCGGAATAGCTTTCCGATTTATGATTTTTCTTGGCCATCAATGACGCTTCATATCGTTTTTGCACATCAGCAATATCTGTGTTCGTTAGGCATGATTGATAAGCTGAGAGTAGGTCCCCGTTCACTTCAAAAAAAGAAGGACCCCAGGAGAAGTGAGAGAGTACATGACGCGCACTTTCTTCCCAGCCAAGAATATACAAAGATGCTGCAAAGGCTTCTGCACAAGTCAGTTTGTGAGGTCGACCATAGTTGACCGGATTCACCGCCAGGAGGTAAGGAAGGAGACGACCGTGTTGGAATTTAAGCTAAGGAATGAGGCACAAAGTTCAATAAGGCAAATAAAAACCTTATGCAATCCTGACGTAAAAAGTAGGCAAAAGCATGTGTTACCTAAATGACTTGTTTCACAATCATGTTAGCTTACATATTTTATTGTTGAATTAAAGCACAAATTGATAAAAACGGTACGAAAGACAAACATACGAAAGGCAGCTGATAAATGTGGATTTTTCACTGTGTGTCTGAATAGATTTAACAAATTTTAACTGCCTTTTTTCGTATTTTTTACCTCGAAATAATAAGGGGACAACAGAACCCTACTCATGTTTTGTAATAAAAGGAACTAGTGGAGACCTCGGAAAGCAAACATGTCGAAGACCTAAACTCAATGCTTAATCACCTTGTCCCACAAGCCCCGATACACACAGCATCTCGAAGCAAATAAAAATTGATATAAAACATGAATTGCGCTTAAAAAGGAATTACACAATAACAACAAACTTACTTTGTGAAAGGGAGTTTCGTCTAGTCGCGCCCAGGAGCAATCAATCACACAAACACCACTGTGCTCGACAATGTCTCTATCTGTCTGCGGATTTATGTACTGAGATGCTGTGGGGGTCAATACCAAGCCATGAAACGGTTCACGAAGGCTGAGTAAACGGGTAACGCCAAGTCGAACCAACTTCCTACCACTGCATCGCTTAGGATCACATTGACCTAGATCCCACATGGCTGTATTGATATTCATCACCTCCGAATTATCGGAAGATGACGATCCCTCACATTTAGCTTCATAATTGTGGGTGAAATTATTTGAGGAAACGGAGAACTGGGCGTGGCGATTATTGAAGCGCCGGCTTTTTGACCTAGCAGCCTGCCCACTTCCACGCGAAGGGAATTTGGAAGGCATAATATATCAGGAGAGATTAAAAAACAAAATGTTCGACTAGATGATCGATTCTAGCAGGTTTAAATAAAAGGGAACCAACACAAATTACGAATAAGACAAAGTTATGTGGTGCGGCGTAGTGTGATGTGGTGTA